GATTTGGCCTGGGCGGTTATAGTACGAGATTATAGTTAATGGATTGTCTATCGGGAGGTCTATTGCTATTATATCAAGATCAGCTAGATGAGCTGGAAAAGTGTGAGAGTTGAATGGAATTGAATTTTTGATTAAAAGTGCATTTCCAAAAGAGTTTTGGGATTTATTTAAATGGACTGTTTGATACCCAGTGAAGCTGGGGGGAAGTTTTGACTTAGTGTCGGTAAGAGACAATATTTGTAGATTTTCAGAATTTAGGAGATTTTTGATTAATGGCCTCTTCCGAGCGAGGCCATTGCAGTTAATTGTGCCGATAAGACAATCCATTAAAGGTCAGGGTTTATCGGGGAGTAGGTGAAAATTGCTAAATTTCCATGACCTGTTACGGTGCATGAATGGCCGAATATGGCCGGGATTAGCGTTCCCAAGATTTTAGTGAGTATTTCTCTACTATTTGGGAGGAGGTTCATCAGAAGAGTAGAAAATATTTGGATTGATATTTTGAGCTCTGATGTTAGCTCTTGGGGGGGTGGATGTTGGGAGGGAGACGGGAGCAACCTGTTCAGGTTTCTGGGGGGGGGTTTTGTCTTTCGGGGCAGGTGATTGAGTATGCGGGGTGGTTGCCGCGACAGTTAGGGCATTTTGGCACCTCTGACTTTTTACAGTCAGCTGGCCTATGGTGCTGCCCGTCGTTGGGACAGGCGGGTTTTTTGGAACATTCTGAGGCCGAATGACCAAGGCCGGTGCACTGAGTGCAATATTTGGGAATGGGAGGCAGGGGGTTTTGGTTTGAGGGTTCGACTGGGTGTCTACGGCCGTAGATGCCGAAGCCCTCTCGGATTAAGTAAGAATAGTGAGACTCTGAAGGAGTCAACACCCTGATAAAAGAAGTAAATTCGAGGGTTTTCTGGGACCTTATCCTCCATACTTTCGTATAGGGGACGCTAAGGTCCTCGAGAACCGCCTGGATTTCTTCTAAAGAGATGTTTTTATCAACCTGGCGGATGACAAGGGAGAATTGGGGGGCAGGGGGGGATCGATTGATTTTTTCAGGGGGGTTTTGGGCGTGTTTGGGATTAAGGATAAGTTTATTATCCCCCATTCGCTGCCTTATGAGGGTCTGGAGCTCGGTGGGGGTTTTGGACGAAGTGGTTTTGATTAGGGCCGTTTTGTTAAAGTTAGTCTTAACAAAAACAAGGTTGGAACGGAATAGTTCTTGGGTATTCAATATATTGAATAAGGCTTTTTGGGTGGAGTAGGCGGCGGGGATGTTCCTGAGAACGAAGAGTGTTTGAGTGGGGCGGAGGGGTCTGTTAGGGGGGTTGTTGGGTAGTGTGGGGTTTGGGGCGGGTTGTTGAGTTTTTAGGGGGGAGTTTTCACGGAGATTTTGAAAAATGTTGGAGGGTTTGATGATCGTTTGATCCATGAGTGAAGGAATTGAGCTAGAACTTCTATGGCTTGAGGCAGGGGAGGAGATAGTGGCCATAGAATTAGGGCCTTGGCCGAATTGCTGCGGGGCAGATGCCGCCGATCCGGCGTAGGAGTTTTTTCTTGTCACCACCATGGTGGTGACGAAGGTTTGTTGGGGGAATTCGCTGAGTTTGTTAGTAATTTGGGAGTCCCTAATCCGACTAGTGAGTTGCAACCTCACAACTCAAGGGCTATTAACCCCGGCAATGGTGGCTTGACCCTAGTCGGATGACATTTGTTAGTTTGTTAATACTTACAATATTTAGGTCCTAAGTCTTGAAGTCGTCTGGTAGTTCCAAGCTAGAAGAAATGGATTAGAAGTCGTTTATTTAAATGATGACAGATCAATCTATTCGAATAATTCGCAATGCGAATAATAACCTTTTTTAAGGAAATTTTCTAAAAAGAAATTTTCCAAAATTGGGCTATTAACCTGTAAAAAATGGGGTTAGTGTTATCAGCACCAAATCTTATTCGAAAAATTAGCCTTTTTTAAGAAAAACTCTAAAAAGAATTTTTCGAAATAGGGCTTTTTGGTTTGTTCGTTATTTAGGAACTCTTCTTTGGAAATATTTTTCTAATTATTTTTCTAATTAAAATTTCTGAAAAGAAATTTCAAAAATACTAGATAAAAATACTAAATATGACCTAGGGTGCTTCTGCTTCAGGTGCTTCAGCGGGAGTGTGCTTTCGCAGTGACTTCCGCAACGCTTCTGATTTTGCTTCGGCTGTTCTAGTCCGCTCGTCACACAGTACCGTCTCGTACAGTTGCTGGATCTCGAATGTTTAGTAAAGTACAATGTTGTTACTTGCCTTTGGAGCATATTTCATTTCGTTATCAGATGACGGTCGAAATTTGCAGTGGGCTCTCTCTCATACTATAACAGTTTCTTCCGCTCTTTCAATTCCTTTTCAGAATACTTTTCAATTCCGGCACAGCAAGTATCTTTTTCAGCACAATCGATAGAACATATCACTCTATACCCCTTGAAAGCTGTGCATATTTCTTTTGGATTAATGTCATAAGAAAAACCATTAAAACTAAATTTAATTAAATAATCATTACGCAGTCGGAGCTGTGAAACTACTGGAATAATGTGGATTAGTACAATTGGTAGATTAATTTGAATTTAGTTTTAGGGGCCACTATTTAGTGTTAAATGTTTATAAAACGAAAGATATAATGACTGACTATATAGGATTAAATCTTTTGTCTTTTGCTTGAGTGTTCTGCAACTGATTTGATTTCACTGGTAATTACATCCAACATATTCAAGCAGCTGCTTAACCCGACTCGACCAATTATATTTAATTTAAACATCGTTATTAGGGTTACCGGACGTCACGCTTTAGGCGTATTTTCATTGCTTTTTGACTTGCTTATACGCTCAACGCCATAGTACGAAAATGTCCCGCTTTTGACAAAAATGCCACTCTTTTTTTGCAAATGCCACGCTTTTTAATATTTAAAGCCTTAAATAAAAAGGAGGAACTGGATTTATAGAAAAATGTAAGGTGAACACTTTTTTTTAGAAATTTCAGAAGACTTTTTTTTATTTCAGAAATAATGGACCTGCTTATATAAAAATGCTTGGTATTTGAACCTGATGCTCTGTCGGCACGGTTGTCACGCTTTTCAGTTTCGTAAATCTGGCAACCCTAATCATTATTATTAGCTAAACAATTAGCAAAGTTTAGGAAAGCGATTCTTTTCCATTTTTAAAATTTTAATGAACCAGCATAATGATAATTTAAAAATAAAGTTTGTTACTTTAATTCTTCCTGTCTCCAACCGGACTGCAGAAGCAGCTGTAGTTTTAGGTTGTTAAGAAAAATCTTTATAAAAAATTAAACGGAATTTTTTTAGCACTTCGACATATCGAATATCCCAAACAGGTATGCAGTTAGTTACAACGCTTGTGACTAAAGAGTGAAATTGCTGAGCCTGAGAAATATACGAGTTCATTTTACGCTTTGTCATATTTAAAATTTCCGATCCAATGGCCGGTTTGGTTTTCTTGACAATAGAATATGTCGTTTCCGAATGAAAGATGATGAGGAATAAGTATCTACAAGGTAAACGAAAGTTTTTACAACTTCAATTGGGTTTTGTTGCATCTCAAGTTCTCAGTATTGTTTCAAAATTGTAAGTTTACGTTTTAGCTCAATTTCAGAGTCTGAGATTAAAATCGGATCATCTGCATAAAGGAACATCATCACCTCATTGTTGTTACCTATATTAATACCTTTTGCACCTTTAATTACAAAAAACTGATTGATATCTGCAACAAATAAGGAAAAGAGTAACGGGCTTAAGATTTTACCTTGGAGCACTCCTATCATTATACCCACCGATTCAGTTAATCCATCAAGTAGTATGACTTCCATATATGCTTTTTCATAATTTTTAGTTTCCTGTCTGTAAACAGAAGGAAAGTATATGAATCATTATTTTTTCTACGATCACTATCTAAAGTAGGCTTTTGCACATTCAAATCTAACTGGAAAGTTGACGTTTTCCATGAATTGTCATAGTTTAACATTATTTCCGTATATAGACGGAAAGTTACTTTTTGCACATGCTTATTTTCATTAGAAAATTTCCTTAGAAAGGTCGTTATTATAAAGCTAATCGGTTTTTTTAAAGAACATGTAGACTAATCTGAATCTTTTAGTTGAACATTTAATACTCAACTCATTTTCCTTAATATTTAAATGATAATTAAAATATTAAAAATAAACCCTTATAACCCTTATAATAACATGTCTTGTTGGTTTAGAGTGTAGCGTGTTGGTCTTTCAACCTAAAGGTCTAGAGTTCAATCCTCACCGGTTAATTTTTTTTATTTTAAATTGATTTTTTTATTTGTAAAATTAAGACTTTTAAAACAGTGGATGAGTCATCAATTTGGGATTAAGAGTATTCTAACCGATCTTGCAAGTTATTTTTTAGATGTACTTACTAACAAATATTTTTTATGCTAATTATAAAATTAATCTTCAAGTAAGCAGGCAACACAATATACACATAACATACTTTTCGTTTGCTAGTCAAGTTAGCCGTGTCTGTCAAATTAACGTAGTAAGATTTGAATTCGGCAAAATAAAACTATATACTTTTAATATCGTGTGATCGTAAAAAAATCTTGTGTGTAATTCGAGCGGAAAGCTATTTGCCGCTCACGATAAAATACCGCACTCCGCTGTACGTCGCGCGGAAACTTTTTATCTTAAGCGGCGAAGTAGCACTTTCCGCTCTTAATAAACAAATAGCTATTTTTCAACCTCGAGTTCTCTACGGATTTTAACGTGTTGGGGTACCCTGAATCCGTTTTGACTATTTTCGCAATAACGATATATCAGAAACGGATAAAGAAAAAAATCCGATGAAGTTAAAAAACAAAAATAAGTCTTTTTTTGAGATACCGCTTTTTGATTCCTAGAAACGACATATCAAAAATTCAACCTATTCCCATTTGTTTCTACCTACATCCTTATTTTACGACACTTTAACTGTAATATTATTTTAGGGGGATGTTTACGTTACGCACAGCAACGCCCGTCATCACAGAACCGCTACCGGCCCCTCCACTTTGTTTAACGGGCAAAGCTCCTCCTAGGGGCACAACAGTCGATTTAAACCATATAGATACGCCGGCCAACATGAATTTGTGGCCACTTTTCCACAACGGCGTCGCAAACGGTTTGCGAATTACCCCCGATGCGCACAATATCGATAATACTTGGATTATATTTAACAAATGTAAAGGTAAGTCGATATTTTGGTTAAAAAAATCCATTTACTATTTATTAAATTAATTTTAAAATATTTAACGAAAATAAAAAATCGTTTTTCTTGAAACTCCTGATTTTTGGGGGCCCTAAAATCCCAGAAAATTGTTTTATATTTCTAATAATTGGCAGAACCTTCCAAACCATTCTATATGTATACACTAGACTAGATACACTTTTAATTACCATTTAATAGTTAATTACATTTAAAAAAAAATAAAAAACAAAATCCAGGTACTCATAATTTCCAAATGGCATATAGCAAAATAAACCGAACACGTCAATATAAATAACATCTCAATTCTTAATCGATAGCTTATATAATGTTCAACGAAAAAAAATTGTATTTCAAATTAAGAATATTTACCATTTTAGCTAGAGATTGGCGATACTTGTTCCTGTGACATTTAAATAACAGTGATTTTAAACTTCGGCTTCGGACAAAAATGTTTTCTGTTATATACAAACGAAGTAAAGGTAAAACTACTAATAATATAATCGTCCTTCCTACGATCGATACGCAATGAACTGTTTCATGTATGAGTATAAGATAATGTAAAACATTGGCAATTTAGGAGTGTTTCAAACATTATATTATACAAAAACCTTTTCAAAAAAATTTCAGTTTAAAATTAAATATTCGCCAACTCAATAAGAATGGCCGAAAATTCAATTTTACTGCTTTGAAAATTTAATGAATATAAAAAAGACATATACAAGTAATGTTTTTTTTTTAAAGGCTGAAAATGAGACAAAAGTTTTTTGCATATTCACATTATTTGTTCAATTTGGAGCACTTGGAGTTGTTTGAAATCACAAGTGATATTATTGATATTTGCGACATAGAATGCGATTTGTATTTAATTTTATCTATATAAAATACTAATTAGGTAGGTATGACCAAATTCGAAAAGGTTTGTTAAGTGCTGAAATTTGATGTTTAATTTTGTGGCAATTTTTTTTTGAATTGAATCTATATCTGTACCTCGGAGCCAGACTATGTTAAGTCCAAATTGGCCAAATTTTAGGTAAATATGTTAAGTGACTTAAAATTTTGCGGCGCATGGTTCGATATTTTCTATTTTGACGTATCTTTTAAAATAACAAAAACAGCTCATTTTTTAACTACGCTAAGCCCACACTCCACAGTCTAAAATGAATATATAAAAAATGCTCTCCTGAAAAACTTTGTTTTTGGACTTAACATACTCTGGCTCTGGGGTACAGATATATAGTTTTAGGCGCAAAATAAAACACAGTTAACAGATTTTTTTATTGTTGTAATACAAGTATAAAGGGAGATTTGAGAATGTACATGGTATTACCTCATCCTTTAATTTCAGCTTTCCCCTTTTTATTTTGCTAATAGTACCATCAGTAAAAATAGTCTCATAATATTTAATATCTTCTAAAAAGTTTAGAACAGCATCATCTCTAGAAAGTGCTTTATCGGCACTAGGAACGATATATATGCTGCCACTGTTCTAAACGTTTAGAATCCTATAAAAAACATTTACAATGACAAAATTGGGGTTCAACAAAAAAATAACAGTAGCAACTCTTTATCTAACATTAAAACTCTTTTTGATTCTATGCAAGATGAAAATAGAATTAAGGCATATAATATGGCCAACAAGATGCCAGTTCATCACTACTCAAAACCTTCTATTAGCACTTTTTAGCACCCTATGCGACTTCGTTTATTTTAAGAAATATTGAAAAGGCAAAAAAGATGACAAAAATTAATGAAGATATAAATTTCACAATACATGACTGCATTAACATGAAACTGCCATGGAAGCATATCTTTTATGCTCGCTTTGTTAATAATGAACAGTTGTTTGATGAGAATATAGTTGATGTCAAATTTACCAGAATAAATTATATAGAGAATCAAATTCAACTCAAGAGTCATATTTTAGTGAAACAACCAATACTTCAGAAATAGAAATACACCAGATAGTAACTTCACAAAAGTATTTATTATCTGGCCGTGAAAAATACAAGAAAACAAAGAAAGTAGGTGAATAAATTGCAAATTTTCTTTCAGAATATGGCACCAATGATTTCAATGACGTATTTGAACAGTTCAAGCTTTTTCGTACATATGTACAGAATAGAAAAAAAAATTAGTTATTGAAAATGTAAGTGATACAGATATGAATGAGTCATCACGGGAGGCAACTGAAAGTTCTATTGCACAAAGCTTCAAAATGTTATATATTGGAAATTTTGTTGCATCTTGTAAGATGGATGTAGATACAATAAGCCTATATAAAGATATTTATGTAGAACAACTATTGTAAACCATCAATGGAATTGAAATATATAAACATAAACGCGCTTAAAATGAAAAGAATTGGTCGACCAAAAGGTGCTGATACCACAGTAATAAGAATGAAAAGAAAAAGAAAAAAATAATAGATTCAGAATAGCTATGTACTTTAGTAACGTTGGTACTTTTTATTGTATATGTATTTTGTGCATACCTACACTGTTTTTATTTGAATATAATGCATAATATAAGTACAGATATTGTTTTGGTCATCAAATATTCTACATTGTCAAAACAATTTATTAATAAAACAAAAAATTATTGAGCTTATACCAAAAAATCCATATAAATGAACAAGAGCTAAGTCCCGTGCGCAACCTTTTTAGGTTTTTATGGGTTACCCTCAAGTTTGTTTTTTATATCTTATGGTTTGATGAGACGTTTATAATGAGGTTAAGAAGACTGAGATTTGGAGCTCGTTTTTATTAACTAGACATTTAACTTTCAAGTTTAAATTTCCCAGCGAGTTGCTCAAACTCTACTTATGTTAAAATTTTAAATAATAAATTTAGTTTCGGACAATTAGTAATGGAGCTCTTTATCCGGTACTCCCGGATGAATAGTCACTTCCTTCAAAATTACTATTTATTTCTTTGAATATATTTTTTATAACCTATCAACATGAACACAAACACTTACAAAAATGTAAAACCATGGATAAAAAATAAAAGGTAGGATAAACTGTGTTAAAAATAGGACGGCCACGCGCATGACGTCACGCGTAGAGATTGTATAGGCGCGAATTTAAAAATACTGACAAAGTGTGAGGAAATTTACAGAAATTTCATGAATATTATAGAAATTACATTAAATATTTAAAGATATTATTATAAGGTAGTTAAAGAGCTATGAATGAAAATAAATGAAAATACATACATAACATAAATATCTATTTTAAGAAAGTTTTTTCCTTTTTCTTTTTAATGATTTATTTTTGTCATTTGTTATACAAATTCGAATGCAGGTTTTTAATTTTGAAAAACATTCGAATTCTAAAAAATAGTTTCTATAATCGGGATAATGAGAAAGGTAACTTCACAACTCGGAACTTCTTAACTGGTGACCCTGGGTAAAAATTTCGTATCTGGGAACGCCGGAAATTTTTAACTAGTGGTTCATTTACCTGCATTATATTACCCAATTGAATATATAGTTACTACTTGTTTTATGGTAAAGATGGGATTTATTTATAAGTAAGATAACAAAAATAGGTTTTTAAAAACTATTTTTCATACATATAATATAATACAGACCATAAAAATAATATATCAAATACAAATAACTGCTAGATAGTGAGATGTATATACAAAATTAAAATAAAATGTCACCTCATTTTTCTTGGATATAGTCACTGACAATTTTTTTATTCTTTTATTAAATACAACTGCCGACATTTTCTTTTTTTGCTACCTATAAAAATTCCACCTATTCTGTATATTTGCTGTAAATTGTTAGCATTCAAAGGGTATAGTCCCCAGTTAAGAAGTTCCGACTTGCGAATGAACCAACGTGAAATTTTGCTTTGAGGTTCCTCTTACAATAATTGGAAGTTTAAATGTGCTTGGAAAACACATGACAATTTTCTGTTTTAAATTTATCTGGACGGCCACAGGCCACTGCAAGAGCGTCTCCAGCTCCAGGTCGAAATTTCGGAGGGAGATGGGTAGCATTGCCTATAATAATTCCCTTTTTAGCATATTTTTTTAATAAAAGGCTCATGGAACGGAAGAATTTTAATCCAGTGGGGATAACCCCCTGGAACCTTCCACTAGGGTCGTCTTTGGGCCACTTCTGACTAACCTCTTGCTGTCGAGAAAAGCAAAAAAACAATGTCTTCTTTAAATCTTTTGCTTGGATTGTTGTTACTTCCGTAAATTGTATGCCACATTTTTTAAATGTTTTTCACTAATATATCTTACAAAAAACGTAGTTTACAACATATAAATCAAATATCTGCTTAAAATGTTATAAATCACTTTAAATGACTCATAAATCACTGCAACGTGCGTCTGTCATATGATATTTACTTTACGCCATTTCTACTAACTCTACGCATGACGTCAGCGCCGCCATGCGCGATATCCCCCCTGATGTGAAACTATAAAAAAATGTAATAAAACAGGATAATATGAATTTTAACTAAAATGATTGGTTATGTTTATTGGTTTTTGACATTTGACATACACATACGGCCAGGGAACACCCAGTTTGTTTCAGGAATGTTCGTAGGTAGGAGTAGCTAAACTAACAACCAATTAGTCACACTGCCTAAATTACACTCACACTCGATGTGTTATTCCTGAGCGTGTCCCAGCAGTGTGATTCTTATCTTTAATCATTAAATGTTACAATTATATTATTATAGGAGTGTACAACCCCCCAGCCAGAAGGATTCTCGCTGCAGACATGCATGCCCTAATGTCAAAGGGTAACAGAGTTTTTCTTGCAGGAGACTTGAACTGCAAACACCCTGAATGGGACGCAGATTGCAATCATGCAAACCACTCAGGAAATATGCTGAAAGATTTCGCTGAGGACATTCACTATACGGACGAACCGTATATGCACCCCATTTAATGGATCAACCCCAAGCACATTGGTCATCGCGGTCACGAAAAATATCCCCGATGTACAAAACATAAGAACGATTAGTACCTTAAACTCGGACCACGATCCAGTGTGCTTGGAACTGATGACTACACAAAAAACCAACAGACAACAAAGACATTACTTTGATTACAAAACAACGGACTGGAATAAATACAGACAAAAAATTGACAATGCACTAAAACTAAACGCTAATATACAAAGTACACAGCTACTTGAAAAAACAACAAAATACTTTATTGAACTAATACAAAAAGCTAGAAACGACTCCACAAAAACAAAAACAAAAACAACGACCTCACACAAAGACAAACTGCCACCTGAAATCACAGAACTTATTGCCAACAAAAACCAACTACGAAAAAGGTGGCAGTTACACAGGAGAGTGGAAGACAGGGTTAGACTAATGGATATTGCCAAACACACAAACTTATTACCGTCACCGAAATAATATCTGGCAAAAAACCCTGTCTGAAATTAATCCCAAGGACAATTCACTGTGGGGAGTGGTGAGAAGGTATAAAAAAACCCAGCTCTCAATTTCCCACAATGAACCAAGGACAAAACTTACTGACTACAGACAATGAAAAGGGACAGGCCCTCGGCGAATTTTTTCAGGCAAATTTTACGAATAATTTCATAAACAATAATCAACAAACAAACATCGAAAATTTGGTTAACGACTTGGGAACCTCGGACCCAGTACACGTCCCACATTATTTTGTGACCTCTCCTAAAGAGGTTGGGGAAGCGGTCAAGCGACTCAAGAATAGAAAAGCTCCGGGACCTGACGACATTAGTAATATTTTACTCAAAAATCTATCTAAAAAGGGGGTTGTACAACTCAATTATATAATAAATGCAGTTTTCAGGCTACAATACTACCCTAGTTGCCTGAAGATTGCAAATAATATCCCCATTTTAAAGTCCGGGAAAAATATAGAAAGCTATCGACCTATCTCGCTGCTAAACACAATTGCAAAAATAATAGACACAATTTTAGACAGACTCAAAAATATAGAAGACAAAGACTTATCCCGCAGGAACAATATGGCTTTCGAAGGGGACATAGCACCGTTGCACAAATAATAAGAATCGTTCATTATGCCAAAGAGGCCACAAATTTTAACAAACAAACGGTGCTGGTCGCTCTTGATTGCGAAAAGGCCTTCGATTCTGTTTGGACCTTCGGGCTAATTCACAAAACGCTTGTGAATGATTCTCCCGTACACATTCTAAAGATAGTTCACTCTTACATAACGGACAGATAATTTAATATTAAAATTAATAACATAATAGCAGGGCCATTCACTGCGCAAGCGGGAGTGCCCCAGAGCTCAGTACTTTCGCCGCATTTGTACACTATTATGACCCATGATATGCCAATGGGTAATAATGGGGTACATGTACATCTAGCCAAAAACAAAATTAAAATCAACCCCTCGAAAACAGAGAGCATGCTCATAACTAAACTTAGATCCAGATGGGTCCACATACCCCTAAATATAGAAGCTCAACAGGTAGACACGACAAATAAAATGAAGTACCTTGGTGTTCAACTAGATGGGGGACTAACGTTCGATTTGCATATCAAAGACAGGGTGGCAAAAAATCACATAGCAATTAAAACTTTGTATTCGATCCTGAACAGAAGGAGTAAAGTCACCCTGTCAAATAAGCTCTTAATTTTTAAGATCATATTAAGACCTATACTAACATATGGATGCCCAGTGTATTGTTCGATGGCAAATTGTCACTACAGCAAACTACAGATTGCACAAAATAGATGTCTTCGGGTAGCGCTGGGCTACGACCGTTCTGCCAAAATCGAAGACATGCACATACAAACAGAGACTCCACGAATTAAGGACTACATACTAAAAACAGCCGAGGATTTCTACATGCGGTGTCTCCCTGACTATGTAAAAAATTATATCTTGAGCATTTATCAGGGGACGGCGTACGTAGAAAGCACGGCTGTTTACACGTTAAACTGGACATAGTATACAGACATCGACTGGGTATTTATGCAAACCAGTCGGACAGCTGACTGATCGGTAGACTGGCCATCGAGGCAACAAGCGCTAATTTCGCGATTGTTGCCTCGGTGGAAGGTATATCGATCACTCAGCCTGTGAGTTGTAGTAACTAACCATAGACTAAACAAACAAACGTACACGCAAGGACAACCCTGTTTTTTTCTAGCTTTTTCAGGGGACAAAACCATAACTAAAACGCGACATATCCCTATAACAAATTCCCATTTCCGATCCCAAAACACCCAAAATTTCTCAATAATACCGATTTGCTAAGGAGTGAGGGCTGCAATATTTACCAAACTAGAAGTCAGAAAAAGGTTTTATAGGTGGAAGCTTCCACCATAGTCCCAGGGCCCACACGAAAGGACGAAGACCCGGTAGTGTCGAATTATAATACTTTTTATGACATATTTTCAAACTGTAAATAAAAATTCTTCTAGTCTATTTATAGTTGGGTACAGGGGAGGGTGGTGAACAACATATACTGTCCCGGAAGTAGGAGCGGTCATGCGAACTGTGAAATTCAAAGAAAAGTTGCTTATCGATGGATTTTTTTTTCGTTTTTTGGCGGTTATGAAATATATAATTCTAGATGTCAATAGCAATAAAAAAATACCTTTGCAAGTATTTTCTGTCCGGTTTTGCTACTTCCACTGTAGAGATTTTGGCCACGTGGCCGGTTATTTATTTTTTCAACTAATTTCTGGATATAGCTTAAACGCGGTTTTTCTGAATCTAAGATGATATTGCAAGCATTTTTGTGTCGGCAAAAAGGTTAATAATCAAAAAAATTGTAACCTTAAAATAGGTGTAAAATCGGAACCAAAAGTGCCCTTGCAATCATTTTTCATTCAGTAGTTCAACGTTTCAGCCTTCTATGAACCACGGGTTTCCTAGAAAAAAAAAAAAGTCAAAATAATCGAATTTATGGCGACTTGCGGCAATACATTTTCAGTCCGTAGCTATTTTCTGCATTTACATGAAAAATGCAACAACTAATTGAAAAGACTTTAGTGCGCAATTTTACTTTGTAAGCAAGGAACATTGCTGAATTGTAAAATGGCATATAGATTTGGCGTTATGGAGACGTCAACCCATAATACAAACTACATTTAACTTTCAATTTTTTAAGGTGGAAACGAATTACAAATGGAACACGCCGGATTTTTACTAGCTTTAGGACTAAACGGACATTTAAAAAATTTGGCCTTCAATAGTACTTTTAATTACCTAGAAAAATTGCACGAAATGACTAGCGTAGGAATTTTATTAGGTAAGTTGGCATGGCTATTATTTTCGTCTTTTTTTTACATCTGACTTCGTTTTTTTTTTAAGGATTATCAGCAGCATTTAGAGGCACAGCACATCCATGTCTTACAAAAACTCTCGCTATACACGTAGAAGCACTTCTTCCTCCCACTTCTATGGAACTAGACATTCCTCAGACGTTACAAGTAGCTGGTCTTTTGGGTATAGGTCTAGTATACCAGGGCTCCGCCAACAGGCACATGACTGAAGTCTTATTAACAGAAATCGGTCGACCTCCTGGACCAGAAATGGAGAATAGCATTGACAGAGAATCATATTCTTTAGCAGCGGGACTAGCTTTAGGGTAAGTCAAAAACGATATTGTGCATTATTTTTTTATTTTGACATTTTTTTACAGCTTGGTTACTCTGAAACATGGTGAACATCCTTCTGGTCTATCGGATTTAAATGTACCTGATACTTTGCACTATTATATGGTTGGAGGGAATAAAAGACCTCTTACAGGTAAGTTAATTTATGAATGTATCTGTAAACGTTTAACACTGAAGATATTATTGATTTATAGGTTCCCAAAAAGACAAATACAAAACGGCGTCCTTCCAAATTAGAGAAGGTACTTCGGTAAATTTGGATGTAACAGCGCCAGGATCTACTCTAGCTCTAGGTCTAATGTATTTAGGTACTAACAATAAAGCTGTAGCCGATTGGATGGCTCCACCTCAAACTCAGTACTTGTTAGATTTTGTTAGACCCGATTTTTTATTACTAAGAACGTTATCAAGGTGTAAGTAATTTTTAAAATGGTTGTAATTGTCAGCTGTCAAATCTGTCACTTTCTTTATAAATTTTAATAAAATACTTTTTTATAGCACTTATCCTATGGAATCAAGTAGAACCTACCAAAGAATGGGTTGAAAATCAAGTACCTTCAACCATAAGACCTTATTGCATGGTCAAACCTTGCCATAATTTAGATGTAGACTACGAGGCAATGAAGTAAGACATCTTTAAAAATTATTTTACAGAACCCATCCACTATTTTTGTATTTTTTTTTTTTTTAGTCAATCATATTGCAATATAGTCGCAGGTGCCAGCTTCGCTTTGGGACTCAAGTTTGCAGGAACTGCAGATGAAGAAGCATATGAAACTTTATTATACTTCTGTCACGTGTTCACTTCGCTTACTGGCAAATCCATTGCTGACTTAGCTGGAAAATCGACCATCGAAACTTGTCTCAATGTTCTTCTACTCTCAGTTTCTATGGTGAGTGTCAATTGTCACGTTCACTATTTCATATGATTCAAATGTCATGTTTCAAATGTCAAAGGTTTTAAGTTATGTCAAATGTTTCAAATGTCCAATGTTTCAAATGTTATTTTGTTAGGTAATGGCGGGTACAGGAAATTTAGAAATCATGCGATTGGTGCGCCATCTAAGAAGAAGGGTGGGCGTTTCTAATAGTCAAGTAGTAACTTATGGATCTCATTTGGCCATACACATGGCGTTAGGGCTACTATTTCTAGGAGGAGGTCGGTATACCTTATCAAATACGCCGTCTAGTGTTGCAGCCCTAATATGTGCATTTTACCCTAAATTCCCTACACACAGCAATGATAATAGGTAGGAAAATCTATCAGTTGATCAAAATTAACGAATATTTTTAATTTGTATAATTTTTTTAGGTATCATTTACAAGCTTTCCGTCACTTGTATGTCTTAGCTGTTGAACCGAGACTGATTATACCTAAGGAAGTTCACATTGACGAAATATGCTACGCCAATCTTAGGGTGGTTAAACTAGGTGGCGCTGTCATGAATATAAAAGGTCCGGGAATTATACCAGACTTGAATACTCTTCTAAAAGTTGAAGTGAACGATGAAAGGTATTGGCCGGTTGTATTTCAGAGAGGCAAGAATTGGGAATTGTTAGAGTAAGTATTGAGCTGCTGTATGATTTTATATACAAAATTGTTTATTTTTTATTTAATTCGAAACAGGCCATAGGCCGAATTACATAGAATTTTACATTGAATATGTTACACAAACTTTTCCCAAAAGTACTCAGTTGGCTTTAATTCGAAAACTATTTATTGAAGGAGATACAAGTGAATACACGCCTTCAAAATAATTCCCTCCCTTGTTAATGGACGCTTGCCAGCTACGCGGAAATGCTTGGATTCCGTTATACCTCACGGTGGGGGTGAACTCGGTAAACTCAGCTGATAGGCTAATCTAAGCCAAACTCATCAGCTGACGGGGTGTGCACTAAGCAGCTTTCGATAAGCCAAGAGCTTGGTGACACCACACTGTAGATAATATGGCACAGGGACAAATACTGCTTCAGAGCTTTCCCAGCAATCCAGCTTTGGTGCTCCACACAAAAACCTACAAATTTAAATAAAATTAATACTAGATCATGGCAAACTAACTCCTAGAATTTAATCAATATAAATAGTTTCAATACTATAAAATATCTCAAATCATCCCTAGCTTGCTGCAACAAATATCAGTAATAAAACAAGGAACCTTGGAAATAAACAAATAAAATCAAATGTACATACCCACTAATTCCTATTGGTGCTTTTATACAACAAACGCCTAGCTAAAAGGCAACGCAACGCTGGATGTTTGAAAGAAATCCTTTCTCAATATACAGGGTGGCTCACGCTCAACGGGACGGAGCTTTATGGGAAAACGACCAAAGATATAAAAAATTCGTTTGGGAGGAATACGTAGGTTACAGACGGCTGCAATTTAAAATTTGTTAGATGTATACAGGATGTCCCACATAAGAGAAAATATACAAAGTTATATTATTTTTAATGGAACACCCTGTTTTTTATTTTAGAATTAAAAATACATCAAAAATAATGTCAGTTAACTAAAGGTTCCCTATTACTATTATTATTAGTTTTCGATTTATTTGAATTTTTAAGGAAAAAAAGTCTCCCAGAAATTAATTGTTTACTCTTGTTTGAATAATTTTTAATGAACTAATTTTTTTTCTTATGTGGGACATCCTGTATACATCTAACAAATTTTAAATTGTAGCCGTCTGTAACCTACGTATTCCTCCCAAACGAATTTTTTATATCTTTGGTCGTTTTCCCATAAAGCTCCGTCCCGTTGAGCATGAGCCACCCTGTATAACCTGGGAGCAAAATCACATTAACTGTTATTCAGAAAATTCTCCAGGTTATAAAAATAACTTTCTGAATAATCCATGAACGGTTGGATAGATAGATTACCTTAGATAAAAGAGACCAGAGATATTACACACCGGTGGTTTAACCCGCGCTAATGTTGCCAATTTCTAAAGAAAGCTTAAGAGGGTTCTATACCCGTCCGCCATATTGGAAATGTTAATGTTCAAATTGCGGGCTTAATACTTACCAAAAAAATCTTTTTTGTATCTGAGCTTCTTATGCATCATAAATTGGCGCATGATAACTTTTTTTATAAACATAAAAAAAAAAATAAAAAAATATATAAAAAAAGTAAAAAAGTAAGTAGTTCTTTCTAAAATTAAACATTGCTTAAAAATTTCAGAGGGCACCGGGAAGTGCTGCCCCAACGGTCCTCTTTTACGTTTGGATACCATGATAATCAATATTTTCTATGCCAGATGGCACACCAGTCGCGAAAAGTATGTTCAGTGGCCTAAACCAATAAATATTACAGAGTTACCCTCAGAGTAGTACAGAGAGGACAGTAAACAATGTTTTTGTCGCCTTGATAATATCGCATGAAAGATTCTAATTAGAGAGAAACAGATTAATATCTCTTATCTCTATATTTATTTTTCCAGTTATTTTTAGACAATTTTTTACTTAAATTCGTTCAAGTATGGTGGTGTTAAAAGTGACTTTGATTTATAGGGTTTATTTTATACTAGGAAAAGACTTGTGTTTTATGTGATTTTAAATATAAAAGAGGAAGTGAGGTTACGTTTCACTCGTTAATACTCGAGTTACCTCCCGATCTATTTATAGAACGGCAAACAACACGATACACAGACCTTAGACTAGTCTAAACACAGACTAACGGTATGTTCCTGCGCATGCAGCTGACTGACGGTGACGTCACGTGGGACAGAATTGTTAGTATTAAATGGGAGATAGTGTTTGAAATTAGATATTTCGCCGGTTTTAGATTTTATGCAGTTACTTAAGCTTTATTGGTTATTTTTTAATATATTCGTTTACAAATATGAAGGTTTAAGGTAAATAATACTAATAAAAATATAAATTTTTCTCATAGGAAAATATCGATGGCTTAAGTGCAAAACGTCGTAACCCCAAAAAGTAAATTTTACAGAGGAATAAAAAAACCAAATAGACAAATAGTAATTTCGAAGAGCAACTTTTTGTTTTGGCGCGTAAAATTAATTTCATTTTATACTGTTGCTTACGATAGTTTTACACAAGACGCAGCTAAAACATACGACTCCAATGACGCAAAAAGCGATTTTTTGAAGTTTTGTGGGTTACGACGTTTTGCACTTAAGCCATCGATATAGTCACTAATAACACAAAAACAAATAAATTATTAAATTATTTTACACTATTCAATCAAAAAGTGTCAGAATAACTTGAAAGTTCGTCCCGAATTATGTCATTGAGCAGTTTGGACGAAATTTGAATCGAAAGTCAGCACACCGTGTATCGTGGGCAAACAATAAATATTGTGTATATTTGGCGAATTTTGAATTCAGTTCCAGCTTTTAGGTTCGGTGTTGCCGTCTCTACAGATAGTTTGTGAATCCACAGACAGAGCTCATAGTAGCGTTGGAAATAGTCTGTTTTTAAAATACATTTCTACAAAAAATTTATTCCTAATGAAAGTTGTTTTTATTACGAAAAACAAAATTCACAGAAAGATAAATAGGGTGTGCATAAAATTGCTATAAAATAGGTAGTGTTACAGAATAAATACAAAATCCGAGCACGAAATTATGAAACGAGCTTGTCGATTTTGGTCCGAAATTATAACATAACACACCTTCTAAAAAAATTATCCTAAGTTCAGCTCCGAAAATTTTACAGTCGGAAAAAATTAATAGGTACCGATTTTGCTTAAATAGTGGAGAAAAAGACATTCCTAGAGCAAAAATCAAGGGCGCTAATGGCGTTTTATAAAATTGCACTTTTCGATAAGGCTTTGCGTTGCATAATGAAATCCAAATTTAAAACCCCATTTATAAACAAGTAATTTTCTATTCTGTAATGTGCAAATAAAAAGAAAGGTGCCACCCTTGGAAACGTTGTAATTTCATGTGTTGTCATCAAAATAAGTAATCTGTCTGTGGTTGTCAATGTCACTGCGAATGCGAATCAAATAACAAATACATGTGTGCTCATTAGTAAATTAGGCATTCCAAACAAATGAAACGCGGTTCTAAGGTTTGGTATGTCTAAAGGGTTGCGACATACGATGTGGTCTATTTACAATACGTGAAATCAAAATTAATAAATGAAATTTAAATATTTTATGTCAAACACAATGAAAATATTATTTTTATAGAAACCGTTTATGCATTTTCTATAAATTGGCAGGCTTGGCGATTACTATTTTAAATAGAAATAGCGTCCAAGATGGAAGGCTATGTCGCAACCCCTTTAGATTTATGAGCCCTTCCCACTGGCAACTATTGTATGACAGGTCGTTGGAATATCTTATTGTGCGAGAATAATCACCGTGACTTTAATAAATCGACAAAGAAGTGGTTTTTATTATGGGTCGAGTACAAATAACAAAACAGCAAAAGATTGGTTGGATTACGTCACATTTTGTGTTGTACAAGTCTTAAACTTCTACGATTATATGTATTGAGCGTTTAGGGGCCGCATAATAGTCTTGGTAATAGGAGAATGAGGCATTAAAAGGCCCAAATAAGGCAGAGAGGGACTTAAGTGATAAGAGCAGGACTGGACTGGAAAATGACTTACATGACAGTATGCAACCAACTTTGTACGTTTTTGTTAAATAATTTGCATACATTAGTACTGTTGATTAATGAAATACGATTGAAATTAACAAAACAAAACATATACATTCTAAAACATTTTCTAATCAAAAAAATGAAACTCAAAAGATGAATATGCTTTGACAGTTGACACTTTACAAACATTGATGTCAAAATGGCAGACTAGTGTTATCCCCTTTTAGTAAACCTCGGATCAGATGCGCAGTCATTCTTAAGTAATATATTTCTTTAACTGTATGGTTTTGACTGATTATAAACTTTTTGTAGTATCTTTGGTTTTCCTTAATCTTTGATTGATTTTTATTAAATATTTTTAGGCGAATTTTGTCAACGACGGGCTACATAGAAGTGAAACAACGGGCAGGTTGTCTTAGTTACATCCTGGATAAATTTGGTTACCATAGTCAACTAGCTCGCACACTTACTCATTCCACGGTAGTACCTTGGGATCCTTCTCCCACATCCATAACTCTGTTCACTTCCGATAAATGCGTGAAGTTGTTCTGCAAGCATTTTTTGACAGGCGACAAATCTAAAGAGACCAGCACGGTCGAGGGGCGGTTGAAGCAGTGCTTAAGTAAAATTACTTATGATGCTGTTGTGAAGGATAAGCTGATTGTGATAGTAGTATTTATTGCATTAGTTAAGGTAAAACATTATTTCATTAATAAATGTCTATTTATATCTATACTTCATAAAGTCGGCTCAAGATATATTTTGTACTAAAATTTATAAGGTATTGACTTTTTTAAACAAGTTATTTAAGTGGATACATTACATTTATTATTTGGATACAACCTTAACATTTGTATCAAGAGTTGTCCAAACTCTGGATTTTTTGGTAATTTTTTCATGTTTTTCTTTTTATTAGATATAAAACATTTTCGAAAATTGACAATTAAAGAAGCGTTAAAACAAATATCAGAGATAAGAGACATAAAGATAGGAAACGCTCATAAGAAGCCCATGCTTAACAACGACCAGCTCTAACGCAGTTAACATCTAAACCACTATGTGGCGCTTTCATCGATATCAAACAAATCACGCAGCGGGAAATTTAAAAACCTGATAATAAATGTATAAATATCGATTGCATTCTCATGTTCTGGTAAATAAATTTAAACAATGTAATTACGGTAAATTATTTATTAAAAAAAAAATACTATACTTACAGTCTATATCGATTAATTATTGTAAATCTATTCATAATAAATATTTTTTATGTTTTAATCGTTATTTGTAACTTTAATATTTTAGTTCTTATTTTCCAAACGAATGGCCAACGGTGTCTTATTTAAAAATGTTGTGTGTAAACTCAATAATGGGAATTCAGAAATTTTTCTTCCTATATCTCTATAATAAATAATAAATAAATACCTACTTTGTGACAAAAGTTGACTAATGTTTGTGTTACTTACATCATACTTTGGTAAATTAAAGAACGCCACATTGGGGTTAAATTTATTCATCTGGCATGTGTTACTAATTTAATACGTACTTCGACTTATTGTAAATTGTAATATTACAAAATATAATGTCCTTATATTTCACACAGAAACAACCACAATCATTTCGCTTAGTTCATCTAGAGGATAACACAATCATGAACTCAAAATTTAAATTCAGGATTCTAGGATATATATACCAGGGCTGGTATATCTAAGGGGGGTCGCGACATAGACCCAGTAAATGGATGAGGGGATGACTGAGAAAAGGGGGGAAATAGTAGTCAGCTTAAGTTGGCAACACTTTTCTGATGTTCGTTTGGCGAAATCCACGGTTTTCGTTTGTCCTGTCGTAATAGTATTATAAAAACAGAGACAGATCTACTTTTAACGTGCATAATAATGTCAATATGGTACAAGTGGAATGAACCACTGTTTTCCTTGTAGTCGAATTAAAACTAAAAACATTTTGTACTTTTTTATATACCAAATTATGCAATTTGTTTCCACTTTATTTTAATGTTACATGAATAGGTACATGCGTTTGTGCTGTGGTAAATAAGTGTTCATGTGAAAATTATCTCTGAAACTGCATTGTGACTGCACTCATCTCAAAACTGAATGCTGTAAATCCAGGATTTAAATCTTTCATAGTGTTGCTTGGGATAAATTGTAAAAAAGGTGTTTGACAAAACGTTTACAACCTTAAATTGCAAGGAAAACATCATAGAAGAAGGAATTTTACCTTTATGACATTCTCTTTCAACATTTTTAAGTGACTTAGTTTGTGGTTTGGTGAATGGACTTGGTTACCACAGTCAAAAAATTCAAATTAAAAAAGTGACTAAGTTCTATTAAGAATACATAAGTTGAATATGAAAATGTAATTACTTGATTTAAATCTGATTTAAGAGCTAAATAGATGTTTCATATAAAGAAAGTGCTGTAAAATGTTGATAAATGCAAAACCAATTAAAGAGAAATTAGTTATCATCAATAGGATATTTTGTAGTAGCGGTCTCTTTAAATAATAAACTTGAAAGACTGTGAATTAGTAGTCACTTTTACACTAGAAGTAAAAACAAAAAAATGTGTGGTTGAGACTAATTTATGTATTTAATAAAAACATATATTTAACATGTTTTGTTTAAATAAAAAAACAGGTGTTATTAGAAATGTTTTATTTTAGTTTAATAATGCATATGCATTTCGATATGGTTAGTATTGGAGTAGAAGCACAAAAGTTTTGATTAAAATTATATTCTTTAAATACAATATTCCCTAGATATGGTAATTTCCTATTCAAAGCCATACATGTTTCCTATTATAGTTTTCATACGTTTATAATTCTGGAGATACTGAAATATTTTGCTTGATTACTAAACTTTGGTTGTTCTTATTGTGGTCTGCTGTTAACACTATTGTACTGAAATATTAAATAAGCTGAGATTTTCTCTAAGAAACTGTATTCAATTTCAAATTTCGGCCAGTTTTAGGAAAGTACCTCTGTTGTAAAGGTATTTCAAAGCCATCCTTTGTAAAATGTAGCCAACAAATACATGCTAAAATATATAGAAAACAAATCGCAAGATATTACACAAAATTATTTAAATTAAATAAAAACATACAAATGAAGTACCAACAATTTAAAAAGACCTAAAATAAATAGACTTAGGGGACTGGAGCTCTAAAAAAGGGAGCCATAATTTGTTATGCATCCTCATCTATAAGAAAATTATCTTCATCTCTTCAATTACCTTTTAAAATAAACCAAAACAGCACAAAATTGAAAGTGATCTACTTTTCACGACGTATTCTATGTACATGTGAGATTATTAATAATTTATTAAATTGAAATATTTTATCCTAAAAAATATGGGCATTTTATAATGAAAATGTCATTTGAAAAAAGACATTGATTTTTTTTATATTAGCAAGCCTGGCGACTACAGGTTGACGAATCAATGGGCGACTACTATTTCGAAAAAAAATGGCGTCCAAGATGGACTCCTGTGTCGCGACCCCCTTAGATATACCAGCCCTGATATAGGGACCGTGCGTGAAATATAGAGGCAGCACTACTGCCGAAGTTAGCCCTCTCTAGTGTTCAATTTTAGAATTAAATGGGGTAAACATTGCAAGTAAAAAATAAAGGATATTTTTTAAAATATTAAATATAGTTAAATATAGATACCGGCCCGTAACAAACAATCGTTTACATGGTCAAAATGATATAAAATGTGAAAAACTATTAAAATCTGGACATGTATATACATTTTAAGCAAAAAGGTTTAAATGGTTAAGTGACAATAAATTGTAAATTTGTACCTCAAGCAAGTGTATCCAAGTCAAAATATCGGTATTTAGTAACACTGAATTTAAAAGTATTACAATAACATTTTAAAAATGTAAATTAATAAAAAAGATTGAGAATAATAATAATTCTTTATGTTAGTAGAAATGTCATTCATCCACCTTAGACGTTTATGAGACACCCAATGCTATACATAATTATACAGATTGCTCACCCATCTATAAAAAAGATTACGAAAAGCGGGTTGCAATTGCCGCGTTTGAGAATCCACATCGGATGCATTTTTTACATCTCGAGCGTTTTTTTATCCACATCGGACACATCTGTCCCATTACATTACTGAATCACGTGATCAAATATTTACTACATCTCAGATGCATCCGATTCTCAAACGCGACAAATGTGCACTGCTATATTGCCTTTCCTAGTGCCCACGAAATAGGACGTTCTAGCCCAAGGGTGAGATTACAGAACGTCTGCAACTTTGCCGATCTGCAAATATGGCGGACTTACAGATGCAAGTATCATGTTTTCGTATTCTAAAACATATCTGCAAATTCTCAATTTATTGTGGTTTATTACCCGCAACAACACTAAACCCAAATCCATCCTTAATGAGGTTAGAACATCGTACAAACTTACAGATTGTCAATTTTTGCTTCTTTTTTAATAACCATGAAGTCTTCTGTTCTTTTTGATTGAATACAGTGCGTGGTGTCAGATTATCGAGTTTTTAAACATAGTAATGAATTTGGGTTTAGTGTTGTAAGTCCGCCATATTTGCAGATCTGCAAAGTTGCCGCCATATTTGCCGATCTGCAAAGTTGCAGACGTTCTGTAATCTCACCCGTAAAGTTGTTTACATTACCTTTACAAAGTTGTATTACATAGTGCAATTATAGGTCTTTTCCTTTGCATCGAAAGTGTAGCACTGAGCTACGTTACTTCTGAAAATATTGTTCCATCCATACAATTTGTATAAATGGAACGATATTTTCAGAAGTGGTGTAGCTCGGTTCTACACTTTCGATGCAAAGGAAAAGACCTTATGTGTTTTATATAGTGTTATTTCTGAAATGAGAGTGGTCTAAAATTATTTACATCCATCCTTATAAAAATTGTTTAGATCTCTTAATATTATTTAATTTCATGGAAACTCAACTCTCAAAATACATAATAACGTATCTTGAATTAAGTAATTATTTTCTTTTTCTAAAGAATAAAACGCTGAAATTTTATTTTAAAACACATTTGGGGTGAGATTACAGAACGTCTGCAACTTTGCAGATCTGCAAATATGGCGAACTTACATATGCATGTATCAAAATTTCGTATTCCAAAAAAGATCTGCAAATTTGCAATATTTATTGTTACTACTATGTTTAAAAACTCGATAATCTGACACCATGAACTGTATTCAATCAAAAGAAACAGAAGACTTCATGGTTGTAGGATGTTCTAACCTTCTTAAGGGTGGATTTGGATTTAGTGTTATTAGGGGGTAATAAATATTGCGAATTTGCAGATATTTTTTGGATACTTGCATCTGTAAGTCCGCCATATTTGCAAATCTGCAAAGTTGCAGCCATATTTTCAGATCTGCAAAGATGCAGACGTTCTGTAATCTCACCCTAAGTGCTCAAAATTGATACACGATAGATACATATGGATAAGCAATCTATGTAATTATGTATATCGTTGGGTGTGAGACACGAAGTGTGCTCTGTGGAAATTTATAAAATTTCTTTACTACCGAATCAAATCCAGGTTTCCAAAGCGATATGTTTGTACATCCACGGATGCAACAAGTTTTTTCGATAATGATATTACGAAAATAATTCGACTTTATTTAATTAATAATTACTAAAAAATAAATGCCGTATAAAACATTAATAAATCTCCCCCAAAAAGTGCACATTTTTGTCACCAGTTGGCGTTAAAGTCATGACGCACGGTCCCTATATACTCAGATATATACAACTAAATGACATTTATATTTACAAACTGTCCACGTCTACTGTCTGTCGACAAACGACGTGCAACTTTAGTTAACATCTGAGACGCATAGATGATGCCATCGTTGCTGTGGTCGTTGCGTTTCCTGTCTTTGTGTCCCCAATCCACATACTTTGATTTTCTTTTACTATACGGAGAATGGTCGCACTGCGCAGCTTTCTGAGTGCCTTTTAAAAGGAGATAGAAAACTCCGCCATTTTGAACCCTTATTACGTGTTGCCTACATCTTGGCGCAATATTTTTAATAGGTGCGTTTTAATCATCCGCTTCTGCTTCGGAATTGTCGGTTTTCTTGTTTTAATCTGACAGGTTAAAACGACTAAACCGAAAATTCCGGAAGCAGAAGCGGATGATTAAAACGCACCTGATATTTTGCTTGCTGCTGTCAGTGTCAGTGAATATTATTTTTGAAGTCACAGTTTATTGCTAAAGAATCAGTTAGCTCACTCGGACCAGTTGAAAGTTCCAAAATAACATCCACTCCAGGGATACAAATTCAGGATACGCAGAAGACTGCTGTTTTATTATAGGCGGTTGTCATATATTGTATTATCCGAGTTGCACAGTGTATAAACTGAAACATTGAGTTCAAAAGTGCCGACGCAGAGTGAGCGATCTGATTCTTTAGCTGTAAACTGTGTCACAGGGTTCAAAATGGCCGCGCCCTATGTTGGGCGTGTCGGACCTCTCTCTTGCCTCGTATAGTAATCAAAGTATGTGCCCCAATCTCTGATAAATAAAAAAATCAGTAGTCAATTGTTGTTTCTTCTTTTTTAAACTACATTTTGCCTTTATAAAAATTCAGTTAAATTAATTTACTGTCTGCCGAAGCCCAACCTTTGTTTGTACTGTAACAGTACTTTAACGGTCAAACGCTTATTATAGGAAGATTGCCTTTACTTTAAAACTCAACGGACTAAGAATGGTTTGAGTGATAGCATTAGTATTCTTAGATATCCTAGTGAATTTGGAAAACTGATTAATTTTTTAAAAGATGTGAATTTATTCAATCAAATTTAAATAAGCATAAGTTATTTTTCCGTATAGTTTTGTGAATTGGGTTTTTCTTCTGACTATTGGTAGTGTACAGTGGCGGCTCGTGGGGGGGTTTACAGTAACAGAATATAGGTATCAGTACAGCTGTATAAAAAAAACTTTCAGTGTTTTAGAAAGCTTATAATATACCTTTCTAACACTGACAGTTTTTTTTACCTATATCTGTACTGGGATCTATATTCTGCTACTGTGAACCCCCAAAATTTTGATCACGAGCCGCCCCTGGTAGTGTATATATTTAATAAAACATTTTATAATATAACTGTACCTGTGCCAATGGCCCCTGATGCCGAGACACGTTAATTTCAATAAAAAAATAAATTAATTTTGCATGTGTGCAGAACACTTTTCAACTTTTATAGTTTATTTACACATGTCCACTTTTCAGTACATTTGTCTGTGGATATTTCTGAGTGACCCATCAATATTATTTGAATATATTTTTTAGGTTATTTTGGACCTCGAGCTTTCGCCATGCACATCGAATATATGGCAATTTAAAATCATAGCTAAACAAATATTAAAAAGCCATTCTTCCAACTTGCTTTCCAAAGAAATAACTTTGTCCCTTCGGCAAGAATTTTTGCAACATTTTGACGGTTGGGAAGAGCCTTTGAAGCCTTCATTGCAGAAATTCTTAACCAGTCTGGACTTCGCCGGCAATATTGATAAACAAATTTCCAAGAGATTAGCTACGTATATAATTTTTTACGATTTTCCTTGGAAGTGTGAAATTCGGCGAGGGGAGTTTTTGGAAATGTTTGGAAATTTGATGAAAAGCGGATTGTGTACAGAAACTGTTGAAAAAATTGTTAAATTGTTGAATTAAATTTGTTTGTATATTTTTTTATAGATAAATAAGACTTTAAGAAGTTTAATATTTTTATCATTGAATTACTTTTACTGTGCAAATTCTTAGATATACGCATTGGACTGTAATTATGCCAACTGGCGCAGTCGGTATGATCATCATCACTATACATACTTTCATCAAAATCGGACACACAAGTAGACTATAATATAGTAAACACGAGGTAGGTAAAATGAAGAAAATGCATTTTTTTTCAATTTTTAATTTTTATTAGACATTAAAAAAAATAAATACATATAAAGTAAGTGCTAAAAGTTAGCTAAACGTTATATATAACTAAATGAGTGGGATTTTGCTGCCAAAAAAAGAATCCAGATACCATTACTTTTCCTATACTTTTTAAATCGTATAAACAAGTTAAATTCATTAAATTAGTTGACTGTAGTATTAGTAACGGTGAGATTCGGTTATTATACTAATTATATATAAAAATATACAGGGCGCATTCATGAAAATATCACAGCATACTCAATCCATAATATACACAAGAACCACGCATACTCAAACTAAGAAATCACACTACAACTTTGACATGTTAGATCCGACAGCAATCTGCACATTTCTCCAGTTTCAATTGTCGAATAAAAATTGATAATTTTCAAGATAACACCCTGTATAACAATAAATAGAATCCAACTTCTTAATATTTTGCTCAGGTACTATACAAATCCAGAGACCTAAGTCTCAAAAAACAACGTTCCAAGTGGGCAGTAATGTATTACACATAGCAGCATTTCCATTCTGAATAAATATATGACCAGAGCTTCTTAAAATATACGAAAACATTCCATTTGATCAATTTATTTTTCTATCAAGTGCCCTCAGGTGTGGGGCATGTATTTTCGGATTTTAAAAAGCACTGGACGTATTTTCAGCATACATAATACATGGATTGTAAAAAAACAAAAAATACTGGATCTACACTATTCCCATACACAACTGTCAATAAAACGCTCAATAGTCATTTGAATAAAAAAATACTATTTACTGTACGCTCCATAAATAAAGTTGGTGGATACAATATATTTATTTTAGGCACTTGGTGAACAAAAATTGTAGACCAAACCTCAAATTAGACAGTGAATCAAGAAACAAAAAGAATTCGTTAAAAAGTCATAAAACTTTTTTATGTATGACACAAATAAATTAAAGCAGTTTCTGACATTGTAAAACGTCAAAAGTACACACATTTTTTAAATAACCGCAAATTGTTTTTTTTTTAATATATCTAATAAGATTTTAAAACTCACCAAGTGGGTATTGAATATTGCATAATTGAGGTTAGGTTTACACTTTTTATGTAATAAATGCAAATTTCATCCATTCAATCAAATGAAAAAAATCTTAATACGTTAAGTACATGAATAATGAAAGAAATGTGACAGAAAGCGCGATTCATCGAAGAATTGTATAATTAAGATGGTTTTTTCTTAAAAAAAAATTCTTGTAAATAAATTAAACCTACATTTAAATTTCTATCTCTTCACTTTTTTTAATTATGTATTTATATTGTGAAAACTATAAACTAACAAAACTAACAATGAGAAAAAATATTGACAAAAATTTAAAGTGATGTTTTTGTATACATATAATATCAAAAAATAACACAAATTGTTACAACTATACTTAAAAAAAAAACAATTATCAGATAACAGGACCCACAACAATGTTTTTGTATTTTTGTTGTTTTTTTAGAGCTACGATGCATTCATTGAAAAACCAATAAAAGGACAAAAATATAGTCGTAAGTTATCTTAAAATAAGTAGTAGCCAATGTTTAAAATAGAGGAACTTTAGTTGACAAACCTTTAATAAGATGTCTCTCGAAAATTTCAAAATATGTTTTTTTTTATTTTATTTAAAGGCGTATGAGATTATAAAAATTCAATCTAATGCGTCTTAAACACTAAACATGAAATACAAAAAATATTTTTTTGGTTATACAAAAAATAATGCCAGTTAAAAATTTGTTGAATTTCGATTTATTGCAGTAAATTTCATGTGAAATTCGGATCCATAATTTTGACGTTCATAACCATAGAAACGTCTTCATGTTATTGTTTTGAAGTTTGAACTGTCAAAAAATTACTTCTGTTGTCATTTAAGATGGATTACGAACTTGAAAGTGACAGTAGCACCCAATCTGAGATAAAGATGGACTTTCGATTTATACATCACCCTGGTAAGCGTATTCACAGAAAAAAAATTAATAAAGTTAATGTTAAAAGAGCAGCAGAAAATATAATTTTCTGAAGAAGAAAGGAGGTTTGTTTTAAACATTGCCTTAAATTCAACAAAACCACAACTGAAACTCAGAATGGCATAGTTTGAAGAGGTGGAGATCTTCAAATAATTAGTATCAGTAATTTACTGAGAAGAACGGAAAAATAAAGATTAACATTTCAACGTTAACTAGATTGCGATACCTACACGTGAGGTCCGTCGTCAAAAACTGTGATAATAAAATTTATTCTAATAAACAAACAAAATTGCAACTTTTGACATCATTTTAAGTAAAGAAGAAAAAGAAAGGACATTGAATAGTCTATAAAAAAAAAAGAAAAAGTTGATGTATATGTCGTTAAGAAATAATAGTAAAACCTTACTTCAGTCCCACTTTGTGTGTGTCGAAGTGAATAGTAAGTCGTTCACATGTGCGAAAAAAAAAAGGATGTGGAATCGTCGTTGTCATTTACTTGTGCCACCTGTGAATTACAACATTGCGAGCGACATTTACTATTCACAAGCAAAGTAGAACTGAAGGTTTAATTTTGCCAACACTGTAACTACATGTGGTACACTTTATTTTATGATTATAGAAACAAAGGTCAATAATTAGAAAACAAAGTTGTACACAAAAATTGGCTTTCAGGCGTTTTTTTGTAAATGATCTCATTGAAGAAAAACTGAAAAAAAATCACAGTTAAAAATTTTATAGAAGAAAAATATTTGAAACATACATAAAATATAAACATACGTATTAAAATAACAAAACTACAGTTGAAACTTCAAGTCTATAAAAAAGATTTGAGTGGTACAACCTCAGAAATAATGGCTCGAAATCAAATTTTACAGAATAATAAGTATTTGCAATACACATGAAAATATACACATATTAAAATTAATTTAAACTGTTTTTGAGAGACTATCTATCGGTTATTTCTAGCTACCTTGAATTCTCTTTAATAAAAAAGTATAGTTGTCGACAAGTGGTGCGTAAAAAAAAATCACACACAAAAATTGTATATCAACGATAATTAGATTTAACAATTATTACATTAGGTAATTCAATTAATAAAAATGATTAAGTCATTATCCAGCTTAATTACAATTAGTAGTTAACAAAAAAAAAATAATAACTGGTAACGATACAAGTCCAACTTTGCGACAAAAATATATATTATTTCATATTTACGATTAAAACACTCGGAATAAATAAATAAAATCTTTTTAGGCCAGTTTCTAAAGCTCAAACTCGCAAAAAATCGTATCTACAATCGATATTTCTTTATTAAAAATCAATTAATCCAAAGTAAGTAAAAAAATTAATATATTAATAGCGAAATAAGGCAAACGGTTCATTTCGCCTTATCGAAAAATATATTTGTTAATTTATATACAAAACGAAAAACCTTAGAAACCGACCTAAATAACGTGATGAAGCGTAATTTTTATTGTTTTTTCCCGATAAAAGAGAGCAGCAGCCTTGGATGGGTTGGTTCGACTTAGAGAGAAAACCGCGACCGGTATAAAAACCGCTCGCTGCAATAAAAACCGCGCGGTGAAAAACGCGCTCGTAAACCGAGCTTTCGACGGAAGTTCTACCTGCTTTTGCACATTTCGATCGCGCACTCTACGGCCTTGGTGATGTATTCAAAAACCGGTATTTGCTTTCTATTCGCCAAGTCCGTCAGATACACTCTCGCTCTATTATAATCCTTGATGGCGTTTTTCGTTAACTGAAACAAATTATTAGCCATTAAAAACCAATATAAATCGATATACAGGGTGTTATTGAAATACACGTAGATATAAAAACAGATGAATATTTAGGCTCTCCTAGAATATTCAAATATATTTGAAAAAAATACCAATAATTGAAGTATAGGTATAGGTCATCTACAAAATCTGTTTTGTGACAATGTTGTCAAATTGGCGTTGGATAAATTTTCGTATAATATGTCTTGCCAGTAATTATAGAATATCTTTATTATACAATGTTCACAGCTGACTTCATTACACAATACGAACAATTTTTTTTGAAAAGGTTACATATTTGATCAGTGAGAAGTCATGGTAGGGGAAGCAAAAGCGATATTATAGTCTAGAGAAGGAAGGGAGGCCTTAATTTAATTGGTAGAACGTAGTACAAGTCCAAGAAGTAGACATCTTATTTATACCTAATCCTTCAATGCGTATTTGTAGTTAAAATAAAAATTTTAATACATCTGATCGACCTAATAAAAGTTTTCGTTTAAATTTATTCATTTTTCCATGGTTTTTACTGTAATAAATCTTTTCTTTTGACAGACAAGACGGACTTTATTTATTCATAGCCGTGTATCCTATGTATTTTAATTTATTTGAAATTTTGTATTAGTATATATTATTTTACAGTTATATAAAAATTGCATTATTTTTAGAAGAAAAAAATATCGTACTTAATGTATTTATATTTAATAAACTTCAAAAAGACTTTGTTTCACTTTCTGTGGATGAAATAGCCACTAAATGTGACACCTATACTGGAGTATCAAAGCGGACAGTATATTCGCTCCGTGCGCGACAGCAGCGCCAATATGTTATGGTATTAAAGGAGTATTTCTGCCTATACTGACAAATACAATTTTTAATAGAATTCGTAAATAAAAAGTATATATGTTAGTTTTAATAAAAGTATATGGATTTATAAAACAATTAAAACATTAATTTATTATTATTATATATTTTTCACGCTTAAATTGAAGAAAATTATGTATAATCATTAAAAATCAATAATAAAATATAGGCAGGCAACAGTATTTACTGGAAAATGTATGAGAAGTTGCCTAAGTCTAATAAGTTGTCATTGAAGAAACCATTTATAATAGCGTGTATAAAAAGGATCGCTACTTATATTTTCATTTTTGTTCTAAAGAAAACATAGAATGAATAATTAAAACTGGTTTCCGATCAGTAAGTTACAAAATTGCATACCAGCCAAATATTATAATCAACGGTAGAAATCTTGAAATCTAGTCCTTGCTGAATGAACATTTAAGAATAAAGGGATATTAAAGAACATCGTAAAATGATAATTTATTGTTTATTTAAAAACTTTCTAGTTTCTGATGTCTACTATTTCCAGCATTACTGTTATTATCACAAAAATAAAGGTAATTTTTCTTCTTATTGTACACCTATCCATTTATTTCTTTGATTTAATTTCCACTTTGTTAGTGAAATTTGTTATATAAGTTTCACTGTTTTTTTTGCTAGTATTTGTACAATTTTCAACACAGCAACTCCGGTTGCTTATTGTGTTGTTTTTACCTACTTTTTGAAAAAAAGTAAAATGTATACGTGTATTTGATATGCCAAAATTACAAAATATCCCCCTAAAATGCACGAATTATCCGCAGCTAGCGCTAGTATCGCTTTTGCTTCCCTTTCCATGACTTCGCACGGAGCGAATAACATTATTAAAGAAAATACAGTTATTTGAGAAGTCTCAAGAAGAAACAAGACCTTAATTGAAACTTGGATAAAAAAATGTAAATTATTTTTTCTTTCGAAAAAAATTACATCAAATGGATCTTATCGGTTATTTTAAATTTTCTCCATTTTTTGTAGTTTGACCCTCAATTTTGACTTCAGATTCGTGTTCAGCGGTAAAAAATACGTCGGAAAATCTTTGTCGAACACCCAGCACAGGCCACTTTTTTTTGTGGACCTGTGTAATATCAGTAGTTATAGTATGACTTTTAAAGATAGTTCTTGAACTTTTTATTTTTTTAATCTTTGATTGTAGGTACTGAAGTGTTACTTTTAATGCCAAGAGAATAAAAAAGTTTAATCCCATTAACAATATAATCCTTATTATTTATTGGTTAAATTTCATTCGTTCAATGTTAAAGTGCAACAATTTTGTCAGAAGCATAAGGTTTATTTTTATTTTTTGGAAATATAACTTTTTTCATTCAAAATTTAATCAAGAAGTTTTGTATATATCATTTTATATGCCGTGCCCTTATTTATATTCTAGAAACTTATTTTGCAAAGTACGTCTATGGAATGTGACGTTATATCCCCACTTTTACTGAGTATAATTCAAGTACTTTAGCATATTTTGTAATTTTGGCGTAACTATACAATGAGGAACCAAATAGAAATAAATGGATAGCTGTGATGTAAAAAAAGGGAAAATTACCTTATTATTACATCCGAAAATTGAAAGGTTTAAAAAAACAAATTATTTTAGAGATGTTCATCAATATCCCTTAAATTGACACAGGTGCCGTTTGGTAAAGTACAATGTTTCTACATGCCTTCAGGGCATATTTCATTTTGTTATCAGATCATTTGCAGTGGGCTCTTTGGCCAATAGAGTAATGATAAAAAAAGGGAAATTGACAAATTTTTGATTAAAATTTCTTGCTAAAATTAGTGCCGCTCGTTTTTATAAATTTTACATTTTTGACACTTTTAATATGTACCTACATGTATTTCAATAACTTGCTGTATATATAGATATATTAAACAACTAAAAATAAAAAACTTACCGTTTCATTGCCTATCCTACAATCATCGCTAGCAAGATTCTGCACACACAAGACCATATCTTTGTTAAGGCCCATATAGAACGCTGCCAAAATTATGCTGGTCATTGAACGCGTATCGTTTGTAATTACAATTAATAGAACTTTGCTTTTATCTAAAGCCCTCTTCCATTCTAGAACATCGGACGAATTACTTCGGACAAATCTGCAAAAGGAAAACAATCAAATCTTAAACGCGTTCACCGACATTACCTGGAAAATAGTCTCCAAAGGTCATTTTGACACAACTTTTTGATCTGAATTATTATTTGTAACTATTGAATACTACATTTTCTATTAATTATGAGGATTGTTCAATATAAAAACGTTTAGAGCAGTCTAAATATGTTTCTATTGCACAATACTTGCATTTTTTGAGCCATACACATACTTTCTTCATTGTTGTAGCTGATCCCAATTTTACAATCTCTAATGAAGATACAGTACTTATTTTGTCCTGCCTGGTATGAGGCTTTAATGTAAAGGGATACAATTTGCCACAGTGCATCCAAGACACTAGACTGGAAATAGTCATAATTCAACGCTCAAAAAGAGAAAGTAGTAAATCCGCATTTGGAAACTATTCATTAAATAAATAATATTAATGATTGTGACTAACTAACCTGTCATCATCACAGCCGTTTCCCACATAACTGTCTTCCATTCCTTCCCTTAATGCGGGATTGTAGTAGCTCAAACCGTGTTTCTTGATCAAAGGAATCGCTATATCACTCCTCCAATTTAAATCCGACGACATTGACCCGCCGAGAAAGATATCACTATTGGGTATCGAAATGTCGTCTGGCTCCGGAGGTAGGTCCTCTACCAGACAATTGACGTGTGTGTTGTTGAGATTACACGTGTTGTTGGTCGAACAGTGCCTTTGGAAAGGTTGCGTTGCCCATACTGGAATAAAATAAGAAGATAATTAACCATGGATGGCGTATTTTTGTTCATAGTTTGTAATACTTTGAGTTTGAAATGTCTACACAATATATCTCAGTCCAGAAGAATTTGCAAACTGACGTGAAAATGAATGTGTGAAGCTTGACTATCGAACAGAAATGATTGATAAGTGGCGTAAGTAGATTTTGATGAATAAATATTTTAGACAAACTATTATCGGTTTGTAATTCAGCCTTGAATTTTTTAAAGTTGAAATTTCGTTTCGGAAATAAAATTAATGAATTTTTCGGCAAATTGCATATTTAATAGACTGGGCCAAAAAAATAAAACAATTTTTTTTCTTAGCGGAACTATGAAAATATTGTTCATGACGACAAAAAAAAATTTCCTAAAAGTTTGAGCCCTTAATAATAATATTAAGAGGTGCATCATTGCAGTTATTGATTTTTCAACAGTTGTCGCGTTTTTGCATAAATTTCGGACTTGGTCAATTTTAAAAAAAATTTTCATCTCTTATCCTTGTAGGAAATTAAATTCCCCACAAAAAAGCTCTCTTAGTAAATTTTCGTAAGACGAGTCTATTCTTTGTAATCGATCCTTAAACATTGGTATATATTTTCAATTTTTCACTTTGCATTTGGGATTTCCAAAATGAACTTAAAAATTAATATTTTTTTAAGACCAGTTATTAATCTTCAGGGAAATTTAATGCTCTACAAAAAAGGTCTCTTAACATTTTTCGATAAACTTACTCCTTTCAAAGTTATTTGATGTTAAATAAACGGTTAAATACTTTAAAAATTAAATTTAACATCAAATAACTTTGAAAGGAGTGAGTTTATCGAAAAATGTTAAGATACCTTTTTTGTAGAGCATTAAATTTCACTGAAGAATAATAACTGGTCTTAAAAAAATATTAATATTTAAGTTCTTTTTGGAAATCCCAAATGCAAAGTGAAAAATTGAAAATATATACCAATGTTTAAGGCTCGATTACAAAGAATAGACTCGTCTTTACTTTACTAAGAGAGCTTTTTTGTGGGGAATTTAATTTCCTACAAGGATAAGAGAAGAAAATTTTTTTTAAAATTGAAAAAGTCCGAAATTTATGCAAAAACGCGACAACTGTTGAAAAATCAATAACTGCAAGATGCACCTCTTAATATTATTATTAAGGGCTCAAACTTTCAGGAAAAATTTTTTTGTCGTCATGAACAATATTTTCATAGTTCCGCTAAGAAAAAAAAATTGTTTTATTTTTTTGGCCCAGTCTAATATTTAATATACCTCCAGACTATATTTTTTTTACTTTCCTCGGTTTTGACTTTATGATTTTTTATCATTATATGTTCACCTGAAGATAAATTAGACAGTTTTACTGTTTTTGCAGTTTTGCTACTACAAATTGGTATGCTCTCATACATTTTCAAATAAGTTATTATAAATTAGTGATAAGTCTTTTCCGGAAGTGTTTTTAAAGCATTTCCAATGAACATGTCCATGTAGTGAAAATAGAATATATTGCCCCGTTTTCATTTTCAGTTACCGTAAAACGGGGTTAATTGGGAACCGCGGGGCTATTTGGGACCTAAGGAAAAAAAATAATTTAGCAATGCCGCCGCAACAGTTGCACGTCTAACCAAAATGTGCGGGCCGCACCACGTGGTACCGTGTTTAGGGCGAACGTGATGACTCGCTTCAGTCCATTAAATTAACTATTGGAAGTGTGAGGTGTCTTGCCAGAAATTGTAAAAATCGACGTAAAAAACGATGGTGTCCAAATTTCTGTTCTCGGAATTTGACTGCTGGTGATAAGGTAACTTTGATAGTTGTAACTAATTGTTAAACGACTGTAGATGACCCAACATAAATACTGTGAAGATATATTACATGTTAGATTTTTAACAGGCTATTTTCTTTAGTGGGGTAATTTGGGACATAACAATGGGGTTATTTGGGACATTGACAGGTTAATTGGGACAGCAAAAAACATGAAATATATGACCGGTAACAGCGAGTTTTTTGCCTCTAGGCTGTAAAAATGGTGCAAAACTATCGAAGGAAAATGAGTAATTGCTGAAAATAAATTTTTTTGTAACTTAGGATGATAATATTATTTGTAAACGTTTGGTTACAATTACCCTCAACAATCACTATTATTCGAGTTCTAACGCAATTTGTTATTAGTCCCAAAGAGCCCCACCCTACGGGGTAATTTGGGACAGCTATAAAAGAAAAAATGTTAGCCCCCCCCCCCCCCTCTGTAATGGGGAAGGCTCATTGTTTTACATAAGACAGATACACCTACTACCTTTCCAAATATATATAAACAAGGTGGATAATAAATACATGTTTGAAGTACCAGCAAAAAATGTTTCAAATTTGTCCCAATTAACCCCCTTCTACTGTAGTACTATAACTGACTTTCTCTTTTTGTTTCATAAGAATCTGTAAGACAAGACAATAAACTCTGTTAATTATGGCAACGTAAGATAGATTTCCGACAATCTCACATGTTCTAATAATTGACAAACAAGACGATTTCGTCAAATGCAGCGATATCACAAAATGATTTAAAAATAGGAATAAAGGATATGATTATGTGATTTTTAAGGTTATTAATATTTACTAAACTAAAACAAATAAAAACAAAATAATCTTTCACGAAAGAAAATCAATAAAAGTTTTTGCCACGAAAATTAATGCGAAATAATGAGTAAAAATGCATGCAAAACTTTAAATGATCAATGTTTATGGTAAACAGGTAATATGGAGGAATGTTCTATTAAAAAAACTGATTAAAGCGACGGCAAAAAATGTAAAAAACAAAATGAAAATGAACACTTTTGAAAACTAAAAAAAAAGAAAAGAAAAAAAAATTAATTAAAAAAAAATAATGGCAATTGCGGATGACCAAAAAAGTATTAAATCTACCTAGAGTGTTATTAAAAACTGTTTTAAAGAAAACCCTAGTCTTCAAAAGTGCGCATTTCCAATATAACGGCGTATAATAGACTCTACCGTCTGTCGTACACATTTCGCAACTGTCGGTGGTGGAAAATTCGGCCATCAGGGCGCAAAAACGCTCGAAGCTGATCGGCGCCGTAGTTCTGTAACCGTTTTGCGAATTGGAATAATTGTACAGCCGACTGATCTCCAACGAACGATTCGTCAACTTTTCGTATGCCTCCAAAACGTCTGCAAGTTTCATTTCGCCTCCATAGGAGTCATATACTTCCCTCAGTTTCCTAAAAAAAGAAAACAAAATTTAAGTCTATTGTCATCAGGACTATGAATTTATCCTTCGTTCGCGTCGATTTTACAGTCAAACAGCGCAGGATTCTATCAAATGTTGGATGGGCAATTACTAGAGGAGTAAAAGTTTTCATTGTCCCTGTCTCTATGAAATAGTAGGGACCCTGTACGATATGGCAAAAATGGGCAACAGTCCAATTCGAATGCAGGAAGAGGGAAAACGAAATTGTTTTGAATATTTAAATTTTAAAAAGATCTACCATGGGACAGGAAAAATTAGTGGTACTGGCACTGATGCACATCCACTAATAATCGAGATATAGATATAGATATTAACAAGGATTTTATGAAATATGTACAAAAAATAAAAGAACTTTAAAAAAAGTTGGTCGAAACTAAAAAAGTTCAAATGATAAAAGTTTAAAAGTGAGAAAAGATCGAAACCAAAAAAGATCGAAATTAGAACAAATGATTGAAATCACATATAAATGTTTAAAAGTACTATTGATCAAAATGATATACGATCTAAATGGTAAAAGTTCGAAAACATTTAAACATTATATTAGTTAATCAGTTGTTTTTTTTAATAATTCTTATTTTATGTATAATTTTAATTTTTTCGCAGAAGTATGGTATATTTCTGTCTAATAGATTATCATACCTGAGTTTATATGTAATTTGTTCCTCAGCACTTGTACCGTTCATGGATGAATTTCTTAAAATATTTGCGGTGCACTGTAAAGCCGTAGATAAATTCTTGTGAATTTTGACACCTTTACTTTTCACCAATTCCAAGAGAACCTTCTGACCATTCACCAAATCCCTATATTCCCTACAAAAAAATATTAGCTTAACAAAAATAAAAAATAAATCAAATTTTGTAGGTAAGTAAGTGCCTTTAAGAGCAAACCAGACCTCTCGCGAAAGCAAAAATGTTTTAAGGATTTTCTAATATTTAATTTTATTCATATGCTTGCCACTGGGAGAATATTAAGAACTTTAATTTTTTGCAACATTAAGGCGGCACTTTACAGAGACTTTAAGAAAAAAGGTGAGAAATACTCCAATTTAAAAACTACTAGTGATTTATTAAAACAAAAAGCAGCAAATTTTCATACATTTAATACAGAATGGTGCAATTATGTTTTTTTTTTAAATTCCTTTTAAAAAGTTTACAAAAAATTCCAAGGTTTCTCCACCCTAAATTTTGTTATGATTGGTATTTCCTGAAAATTTCATAAAAATCGGAATAAAAATAAAGCTTTGAAAAAATTATAAATTATCAAGGTGTTCAGTTTACTTTTAACCCTAGAATACTAATATGTTGTAAAATTGCGGACAACCGGAAAATTTTGTTTGAATTCTGGTATATCCTTGAAGTTTTGTCATTTCCAGAACCTTCATGAATAATTATACCGACGCTGTGAGTTTAATAATTTACTCGAGTTTACTTTATTAAATACATTTTTATAATTATGTGCCACAAATATATCTCTTTTTTTACCGTTTATGTTAGTTTACATTTGACAGGTTGATATACACGTTAGTCAAAAGGGTTATTTTTATGCATTAATATACATCAATACTGGGCCGTGTAATTTATTTTCTTATCGTCCTGTAATGATTGCATATTAGTATTCTAGAGTTAAAGCACTAATTTCGCGTACTTTCTACATTTTTTCATGGTTACTAAAAACAAAAGCAGCTCTTACCTATCCGTGATTACTTCCCCCATGATCGTCTGACCCTTTTCGTAAGGTTGTGCGACCACTACGACGCACCTACCAGAGGCAACTAAATATGCTACTTCTATCATTCCAACTGTACTCCTCGTCTGACTATCTATCACAAAAAGTAATATTGAAGCTGCCTGCTTTGCATCGTACTCTTGCGCCACTAGTTCCGGAGCCCACATAGAGACTTGCTGAAATTTTTTAAAAATATATTAGTCTAGGTGGTATGCTATAATTTTATTTAAATTATCCAGAAAAGTACAGTAATTCATGTGATGCATTAGTCTGGCGTCAGTGAGCCAATCAGTGACCACTCTGACATTGTTTTTATAATTAATATCGTTTGAAGGTCGTAAAATAGTAGTATGTACCCTTTTATAGTCTGAATAAAAAAAGAGTGCATTAAAAGTGGGGATATAGTCATCTTCCATAGGCGTACTTTGCAAAATAAGTTTCTATAATATAAATAAGGTCACAGCATATAAAATGGTATATAGGCACTTCTAAGATTACATTTTCAAATTCTGAATGAAAAAAGTTACATTATTTACAAACAATAAAAATAAACCTTATGCTTCTGACAAAATTGTTGCACTTTAACATTGAAAGAAATAAAATTTAACCAATAAATAACGAGGAAAATGATATGTTATAAATAATAAGGAGGATTATATATTGTTAATGGGCTTAAACTAAAATCAAAGAATAAAAAAATTAAAAGTTCAAAAACTATCTTTAAAAGTCATTGTCTTCACTATAACGACTGATATAATTATCATTGTCTTTTCTGAGGTTTATAATTATAGGGTCTATTAATTTTCCATTGCTATATCCACTTTCCAAAATGAATTTTCTATCTTTTCAACATGATCAATGCATTTTCTTCAATTTTCTCCATTTACATCTGAAACTGACTTCAAAAATAAATTTTACACATCAGATAATTTAAATGTTGTATTGTTTCGAGAAACATAACCTTTTAATTGTGACCAAATCAGTTAAATGGGATTTAACTCTGCATGGTAAGGAGGCAATCGGAGAATTTCAATTCCTTTTTCTAGGGCCATCTCATATATAATATATGTTTTTATGTTGCCTTGCTATTACGAGTAATTCTGCCTTCAAGTATTTAGGAGGACTGATAATATTTTAGAATGAAGCCATTTTGAAATATCTTTTTTCCATCTTGCAGGTAGTGACACCTTTAATCGACTGTGATAGGATACATTATTATGGATTTTTTTTATAATGTTCTTAAATCAATTTTCATACATAGGGCCATACATTTCTTCATGTTTTCTTTGACTCGAACATTAATAAACTATCTGGTAAAAATCCATCGGTGATTCCAATGTGGGTTAACATTAAACGATTTCCTTTTCCTGTTTTAATCCACAAGAGACCCCTTCCATAAAGGCCTATTTTTTAGTTTTGATGGAGGTATCTTGCCAAATTTTTTACTATATATGTCCACCATTAACCTTTATTTCATGAATAAAATACCTGTTTATGCTGATTCCTTGCATCCGCTATTTTCCTTAAATAATCATGTGTCAACGCAATTATTTCGTCTTTTTCTGTTAATAAGCTGTTTCTGTCACATTTTTTGTAACGAAAATGTAATTCATGTAATATTTTTTGCAAATTAAGTTGGAACCATATGGAAAACATTTTTATTATTGATTTTAGGAAAAAAAGTTATTCTTGATAAAAAGTCCTGCATGACCCAAAACCTAAAATACAGTCATCACATATCAAATTTTTCAAGCCGTATATGAGGTTTGTCAAAAAATTTGAATTTTGCTCAAGAGTAAAGTACGTTTATTTTTGACAAAATCGAAAATTTTCATTAAGAAAAGTTGATTAGAATTGAATATTACATTCAAATATGCAATTACACCGATCTATCTGAAAAAACAGATTTTCTTATTTTTTATAAACTCTACACTCTACACATTGATTGTAAATATCTGAAAACGTTACAAATTACGTTAGCTACTATAAACATGATACGCTTTCCTTTTGTTGATGTTTGTGAAGAATTTAGCAAATTTCTTAATAAAAATTTTGTAAAAAAATAAACGTACTTTACTCTTGAGCAAAATTCATATTTTTTGACAAACCTCGTATACGGCTTGAAAAATTTGATATCTGATGACTGTATTTTAAGTTTTGGGTCATGAAGGACTTTTTATCAAGAATAACTTTTTTTCCTAAATTCAATAATAAAAATGTTTTCCATATGGTTCCAACTTAAGTAGACACACTGTATAATATATTTGGAAGAGTGTGGCTATTTTCTATTTCTGAGTGTAATTTTATGTGTAGGAATTTTATTTCGAAAGAAAAAAGAATGTACCATTTGTCTTATTACATTCTTTACCCAAGTTTCAATAAAGGTCTTGTTTCTTCCTGGGTGCTTTTTCGGATGTGAGACTTCTCTAATAACTGTATCTCCTTTAATAATGTTATACACAGTCTGCTTAGATATTTCAGTATAGGTCTCACCTTTAGTGGCTATTTCATCCACGGAAAGTGAAACAAAGTATTGTCGAAGATTATTAAATACATTAGGTACAATATTTTCTTTTTCTAAAGACAATGCTTTATGCCTACTAGGTCGTTTACGCATACTTATGATTGCAATATTTTCTAATGCACCCACCATTCTTATATAACAGTAAAATTATAATATATACTAATACAAAATTCCGCCTATGAATAAATAAAGTCTAACTTATCTGTCAAAATAACAGATTTATTAACAGTAAAGACCATGGAATAAGGTATAAATATAATGTCTGTACAACGTTCTGCAGATTAAATTATTGCACTCCTTTCTTCTCTAGACTATAAACAAATACAATATTAAAAATAATAGAAATAAAATGTAAATTGACACTTTATCTCTAATTTATTTATTGCTTTGCAAAATTAATTGCTAAATAATTATTTAACTAAAATATCTACTTATTTTAAATTTCTTAAATAAAATATTAAGAAATCAAAAACTAGATATTTAGTTTATAAACAACTTTGGATCATTTTTACATCATGACTAATGCAAGTAGAATTGTTACTTTAATATAAAACAGTTAAATCAAGTGAAAATTAATATTTTCATTTTAACAAAATGTTACTGATTGTTAGAGTAGTTTATTTTCAAAAATATAATCTGCAGTTTTTTCTAAATTATACAAAACAACCCTTCTAAAGGGGTATAATAGACAGTTTTTTTATTTTTAATATTTTGCAGAACATGTTCATAATATTGCAGACATAAGTCAAGCATTCTGCACTTAATTTTGGAATTGATCTAAAAATTAATTTTGATTTAGTTTTTATTTGTTTAAATAGTTTAGTTGGGTTTATTAGTTAAAGACACTACAGAAAAATAATAAAATGAAGAAGTACTCATTAAATTATTAAAATAACAGGATTAACAATTTTTATTTTAATTTATTAAATATTCAAATTAATAGTTTTTGATATATTATGTTCTATTTTCAAAAATTAAACTGAAATGTTCATCAACAGAAAATACAAAAGAATATTTATTTATGAATAAAGATTTCTTAACTACTGTACAAATTCTCTAAACATTAATTAATTGATGGCAAATTCATGATTTTTCAATGAGGGGATGACTATTTTAGTATAAACCTGGGTTTACTGACATCATAAATGACTGCCTACATTATGCTATACAATTGTCTTCAAAATAAAAGACATGGCAGATAATCAGATGGCCAAATTTAAAAGAGATACAAATGTAAGCAAATTAGTATTGGAACTTCAACATTACAACCTTTAAAGGGTACCACCAGAACATGAAGAAAAACTAAAACCACTTTAATACATAATTGAACTTCAACTTCTTTGTAATATTTCCTACCAACATGTTAAAGTTTAGTAAATGAAGATAGTAATGTGACTTGTTGGACTTCTTAGAAACTATGTCCCAAACTACGCCCTACTACAGATTGATATCGATTTTGACAAGTAGTTGTACAATAGGTGTGTATAACCCTTTTTTATATTAAGTTCTAATCTAGTCATAAAATAAAAGAACTGGTAAATTTTCATCAAAAGAAAACTTTAACTTAAATTAGCTTTTTCAAATGAGCCTGAATAAAAAATATTAATTTTAGAACTTACTGGATTGTAATAAGAGATGCCATGCTTTTTTAACTCTGGAATAGCTGTATCAGCACGCCAAGTTGTTGGATTGCAAGAACCTCCAAGGAAGACATCACATTTATTATTTGAACATTCTGTAGATAAAAAATATATAAATCATAATTAGATTAATTGTTCAGATTATTTTGGTAATTATTATTCAAAACTACAAGTTGAAGCTTTAGAAGTAGTATGTATATGTATTTTATTTATCTACCAAGAAATTCTTTAATCTGTTTTTCAATATATTTCAAAACATTCATGGTATAATAATAATGTTATGATTGATTTCTAAATGGGCTTATTAAATAATAATTTATGGGTTAATTGAAAAATAAGTCATAATAATGACTAAGAAGTGACAAAAGTATTTAGCAGGTACAGAGTGAGTTTATACAAAATAAAAAACTTAGTACATTAAAACTATTTTTTTCTAAAAAAATGTGATCCTTTGAAATTTAAACTGAAAACTTTGATAAAGTAACTATTTAAAAACAGTGTAGAAAATGATGGAATGTTTCTACATGACTCAAGTATTAAGTAGCTCATTAGCAGTTTTTCTAGAAAAGTGACAAATTTGCTTGTTAATAAATGTTATTTTAAATAATTATGTTAAAACATTTTACCAATAACAAAAATAGTAAATAAGTAATGTAAAAATATATTTAAAAATGAAACTTTGGTTATTTTGAAAAATTTTTGACATTATTTTGAGAGAAACAACTATAATTACTTTTATAGTTTAATATACCTACCAAATTTAATTAAAATAGAAATTCTTTCTAATTAAAAATTTGTTAAATCATTTTTTTTTAAGTTTACAGATTTGTTCATTTCCGAGATTGGTTTGTATTTATATGCAAAAAATATATTTAATGTTATACTCAAGCCTTATAATGGTAGATATAAATGTTGAAAAACATAGGAAGAAAACAAGTATGCAAAATAGTTATTTTTATAAACATTAATTATTTAAATGAATGAAAAATAAAAACAGGCTTTACTTACTGATTGTATTATTGATTTTTGGAGGTGTAGACCGTCTCTGGTGTTTCGGATTTTGGTTTTGCATCTCTTTAACAAAGACACAAAACTCTCCGAATGTGATGTAGTCGTTAGCACCATTTCGTCTACCGCACTGCCTGGCACACTGGAGCATTTTTGACACTGCAATTATTGCAATATTTCAGATAAATCATTACCATTACCAATAATCTAAATCTACAATTAATTGTTTAAACACCTAACCTAATCGTTTTGTTGACAACATGACAACGCCAACGCAAATGTCAATTTTGTAGGTTAAATTTGGGCAAAATCAATTTTCGATTTATTTACCAGCAACACGCAGGCAGGTAAAAATTTTGACAGATAATGGACAGAGGCGGACTCAGAACATTTTTCGTTTCTAAATAATAATTTAGTCTACGAGAAACTAAAAAGTTTTATGTAACAAAAGTATTAAGCCTAATTTTTAAACCAGCAATGTCAGATCTACGTAGCTCATACAAAATTATCCTATCTGCAAAAATGTAAATTTTACCTTGAGATTTGGACGGAAAAAGTTTCATATCGTTGAATAAAGCCTGTACAGAGTCTTCGGGAATGTGTAGAGTATCTCCTAATCTAACGCAGATAGCATTGTATACCTCTCTGAAACAATGAAAAAAGTATTTTATTTAAAATCAAAAATTACATATCAAAGCAAACAATAATATAAAAATATTTATATATATTGGTGTGAACATAAGATTTTATGTTTACGTTCTTTGAAAAAGTATGTATTTTATTTTACAAAATTTTCAAATGAAAAATAACAAAGTAGGCGAGAAAGGCAAGGGAAGAGTATTTTCTTTTATTATATTTAATTTAAAGCAATATTCATTATTACTGATAATCAAATAATTTGTATCAAATCCTTTTTTAAGTGCCTATAGTTTGTTTCCGGTTACCCATACAACACACATTATTTCAGAAGTGTTTTAGAAATATTTCAAAGGTTTCAAATATATAACATTTCAACCCAAGTTTCTGAAATATTTCACTGAAAATGTTTCTGAAATATGGTATACATGTTACATAAGAGGTTACTAAACGGGTTATGTTGTAAAAGGCCAACACTTAATGAAGAATTTCTAATTTGTAAGAAGATCAAGATGGGATATGTCGTTATTTTATTTTGTTTCATCATAATAGGATGATCCTATGTCCAGCCAGAGACAACCCAATATTCTAAATAATTATAGATTTGAGATGTCGGTTTTTGTCATTCCCTTTTTTTTTTTTTGTTATTTATGCGTTGTGCTGTTGTTATATGGGAATAGGCAGAATATGTACTTAGAAATTGAGGCGAGTATTAGAATGTTTGTTTGGGTTAGGTTTATTAACTTTATCTGACACAGTACTAATCTTCATAGGGACCTTAAAGTAGAGACTGTTGAAAATACAATACAAAAATTTGCCAGTAGTCACCAACAACAACTGCTCCAACATGGAAACCTTGAGATTATCCAGCTCCTCAACAATGCCAATCTAATAAAAAGACTCAAGAGAACCAAGCCTTTTGAGATTATCCAGCTCCTCAACAATGCCAATCTAATAAGAAGACCCAAGAGAACCAAGCCTTTTGAGGTTAGTTCAGTGAAGTTAAATCAGCGTACAGTGCGGTTAAGTGTTATACGTTAACGGTAGTGTAACTAAATAATTAGACTCTCTAAGGTATACTAGTGAGTAGAATATTAGTTGATGAAGTTTTTCGTCCCTCGATAAGTTAGATTAGAATAAAATTGCTAATTGATCTTAATGATCAGATTGTAATAATCATAAATGTTTCTTGACTTGGGGCATTTATTTAAAAAAACTATTTGTTTCAGATTAGTGTATTTAAAGGACTTTGTGGGAATGAAGCAATTTGCCTTTATATTTTATGAAATAATGTTTAAACATTATTTGTTTGTTTGTTTAAGAATCAGTGTTCGAGTTTTGTGTAATTTAAATAAAGATGTATATTTATAAATGTCTTTTTTTAGTCTAATAATATTTATAAGAAAAAAAAGCTAGAATACATTTTTGAAATATTACTATTTAATATTTCTAAACGATTTAATTTTTATTTCAGAAATATTACTATGAAATATATTTACGGACATTTTTACGTTTCAGGCACATTTCAGAAATGTTTCTGGTATGTTTCGTAATATTTATACATTACAAATGTTTCAATGTAATATGTTTGAAATGTGTTTGTGCTGTATGGGTAGTGCATTTAAAGAAATTGGTGTAAATGAAGCGATTCGCCTTTATATTTTAGGAAATGTTTAAAAATTGTTTATTTATTTCTTAGTTTAAGAATCAGTGCTTCTATTTTGTGAATTTTAAATAAACATGTATATTTTTTAAATATCTTTTTTTAGTCTTAATAAAAATATTACAGTGTAATATAGCATTTATTTTGCATTGATATTTCAGAAGTATTTTATGAAAAGTTTCTACAACGTTTCATAATATTTATGAAACAAAACTAAAGTATCTACATTTCTGAAATATTTTTATGTAATATATCTGAAATATGTCAAATTTTCATTTCAGAAATATTACTGTGAAATATTATATTTACAGAACATTTTAACATTTCAGTCACATTTCAGAAATGCTTCTGGACGTTTCGTAATATTTATCCAACATTACAAATATTTCAACGTAACATTTTCGAAATATTTCCGAAAAGTTTTTATGCTGTATGTGGAACTATTAGGTCAAAAATAAAGCTCAGCATTTTATTTACTCAAACTATTTAAGGGCCCAGAAGTACTATAGTCTTATTCTAAGTATATATAGAATTGATTGTTTTTATTTAAACGAATGAACTCAAAATAATTGAATTTAAAACCTTCACCATTATTTCTAATTCTTATGTACATAGAATCTACAAAATAACAAGCATCAAATTCAGTGTGACTCTATTGCATATTATCAAGCTCCTTACACGTCACACTAATGTAGTTCATTCCAAATTTGAAATGGAATCAAAACGTGAGGATATACATTATATAATGTACCAAAATATTTACATACCGCATTAGTTTTTATCAGACTAAGAAAAAGTTTTATGATCCGCTTATGTTTACAAAGCTCAACCATACAGAATTATGAGCTAAAAAAATTTTTTTGATAGTGTTTTCCTTATCATAAAAACACCAATTTAACAGTTTATGCATACACTTCATTTACCAGAAATTTATAGAAAACACTGGACAAAAATTAGAAGATTAAATGTCATCGTGAAACAAAGAATCAAATCAAAAGAATAGCAAAAAAAGTACAAAGAAGACTAATAGACAACTCAAAAAAGATGAATAAGTTCCTTAATAAGATGGTTATTAACGTGGAAAATGTCAGTGTGAAACAAAGAAACGAATCAAAAGATTTGTAAAAAGGACAAAGAAAACTAATAAACTAATAAATAACTCAAAAAAGAATAACAAGTAGAAATAGCCAGGCATGAAAAAATGTTATTAAGGTGGAAAAATGTTACTGAAAATGAAACATCAAAAAAAATGTAAAACAGAAATAGTAAATTGACACGTTAGCGACAGAAAGAAATCGCATACCAAAGAAAATAAGATAACAGTGAAGCCAGACTTCCACAAGGCTGAGTCCTACGGCCTATACTTTGAAATATGAAGAAAATAATTCGCGAAATATTGGAAAATCACTCACTTAAGAATGTCAATGGAATCGCATTAAGTCGAATGATAATCCTGCGGATGAAGACATTATTGGAATTATTCCCTGTATTAGAGAATGTAATGACAATAGAATTGTGGATTATGTTAATTTAATTAATAATGCCACAAGCGGCGCCTAAAACATATTATTTAAGGGCTAACCCTATCAAGAATCTCTTCATATTTTTAGATTATTCGTTCTGTCAGATACCTCAAAAAACTACTTTGCAACTTTTCACTTTGCTCTTTGCAAATTTACGATTTTTATAAATGCCAAATATTTGCGTTTCATAAAATATTATCGATAACTTTGCAGATTATTAATTTTTCGTTTTCACTTTGCAAATTGCTTTTTAGATTTTACGATTTAACTTGTCAAATTTCTCCTTTATAAAACATATATTTACTAAAATTTGCAAAGTGAAAACTGAAAGTTGCAAAGTAGTTTTATGAAATAAACCCCTGGTTTATCAAAGATTTGAAACGTGTTTCGAGCAGGTATACTCGTGTGATAAAAAAAATATGAATATTTTACGTACTTTGCTGTGTCTTTGGACTTTGTAGGCCATGATTTGTTAATATTTTGTTGCACCATCGTCGAAAAATATATTACATTTACCGTTTAAGATATATTAACACTTTTGTGACATGATCTCGGATACACGAATAACATCTATTTAGTTTCATTTGTAAATGAACTAAAATGTTCTCTTAAATTACATGATAAATGATGAAAATGGTTTAACAAACTTTAAAACCGATTTAAAGACAGTTCTATCATTTTTTTTAAATAAAAAATCACACGTTCACATAATAAATTCGAACAATTTGGTAAAAACGAGTCGATAAACTAACTAAAAACGTTTTTATATTTCTATATGTCAGTAATATCAGTACTAATTATTATCTTTATTGGTTTTTTGATATTAGAGATAAAGTTTTCAATACCTAACGTACATGAAAAATTCAACTTGATAGGAGATGTGCCAATTCATTGCATATATTTAATTTATTATTATTGATTTGTAAAACAGGACACGTACACAGAAAAAGCCTAAATCATGTCTTGTCTGGATCAGTAGCTTGGAACTAAAAGGAATCCAAAATCCTTTTTGTTTGCGTTTTAGATAATGAGCATTAAACTTATCATAATCCGTAAATTTTATTATGTTTGTAAACTGTTTTGTGTTAGTGAAATAAATGAGAAAATTATTTATATAGTGTGAATTATAATAGAAATCTTAAGATGATAAGCGAGTTCAAATTTTGGAGATTTGTCTGTTTACTTCCAAAGCTATACTAAGTTACCATCATTCTAGTTTACTTAGGAACCGAAATTTACAATACCGATTTTGATGTCTAAAAAACTTTCTGGTTTTGAGATTTAGCCGTTTTTTTTAAACACTCGACCTCTTTACAATTCTTTATATTTTAATTTAATTCAAAATTGGCTTTATTTACTCAGATCTAATTATTATATTTATTTTATCTTGCTACTGCTGACGTCCATATAATGTTATAAAAAACAAATTATCAATTTTTCGAGTACTTAGATCTATATCTTTATAAATATTGTATTGCTGCTCAAAGACATTTTTTCAAGTTTCTGCAACTGCAAGTATATTTTTCGTTTTTGGAAAATTTCATATAAAATTATATGTACCTAGTTTTAACTAATTTATGTAATAAGTCTTGATAAAAACGTAACATAAACTTTGAAACATCAACAAATTATAAGGAGTGTCGTGCAAGCCATTTCAACCAGTCCGGTCCTGCTCTATGTTTTCGTTATTGACGATAGAGTGGGCCATTCTATCGCCTACGGAACATTACTAGAAATTACCAGACTAGATCGATTCTTGGTCTAGTCGAATCGAGAGCGTCTTAAGTCTCTGAGACAGGTAAATCGTCCAATTTTGTCGATAT